CATTTATTATCTAAGTTTAGAATATATCAAAGAATTGAAAGCATATGTGAAAGATTCAATTTTTACAAATATTAAGATTCATTTGCTCAAAGAAGAGTGTGATGAATGAGTACATTTCTCTACAGAAAAACTGAGTTTCAAAATATATAAGATAACTGACTTTTATTATTGTTTCATTGTTAAAACAGTATTCTGAAACTGTCAAGTATAAGACAGTGTGTATTATTAAAAAAACATTCAAGAATAAAAATGCCACAGACAAATGTTTATTCTTCTCAAATAATTAATCAAGAAATATATATCAAGTTGTTTGACAGAATATACAAGAAAAAATCTCTCAGAATTAAAATTTTATTCAAATCTTTCTTTATGTTTCAAGTCTGTAGATATAGATGATGATGCTGTGAAAGTCTTTCTTAGCAATTCAAATACTTTATCAATCAGTATTCACTCATTCATTATAATAAATGAATCAAATATAATTTCAAATACTGAAGATCTGATACAAGAAACTCTCACTGCTATATAAGAAGATATTGATATTATAAATAAAAGATAAAAGAATGAACTTTTGATATCAGTCTGATAATTAGAACTTACACACTTGTTCAATATTATTGATCTCAGAGAATCTTATTAACAATAAATCAATATTCACAAAATTATTTATATTTTATAGAAGACAACAGATACAACAGAGATAGAATCAGAGAGAGACAACAGCAATTTCTCTATATTTATAAATATAAATTATCTACAGACTGAGTTTATCAACTGAGATCAATAAATATTAAGTGACTGATTAGATGAGATTATTCATTTAATACAGAAGTCAGTAAATAAATTCTATAAAATACAAATGTTTCTGAACAATTTCAACATACAACTCTTAAATTATAAAGAAGTATGTAAAATACTGAAAATAATAAACTCAGATGTATTAAAGATATCTGATATATAGTATAATGTAAAACTTAAATTTTGACAGTCAGTAACTGTAAATATAATATATAATTTTTGAAAGTGTATAATCACAGATCTGATGAGTTTTGATAAAATATAAATAATTATTGTATATATACTCAATATAAGTTAATCTAGTCTCTGAAGACTCTTATAATCTGTTGTATAAAGAGCAATATTAATCAATATATTTACAGCTGAACAATGAAATACAAGAGTTAGTATATTCAAAATCAATTATTTTAATTGTTTCATCAGCTCTTCTTGATCAGTGATGTACTGAAATCAGCATCATATCTGACACTTTCAATATATAAGTCTATTATAATAATATATAAGATGATAGATCTGATCACAGATTTATATAGAAATAGTTAATAAAATATAATAAAGTTTTTCAACAGTAATAGTCATTGCAATAAATTGTTCTTACTTTCTATCAGAGTTTATCTATATATAATAACTCAAATGTCATTTAATTATAAGTTGCTGAAGATTGAAGTAAATTAGAATATAATTACTTATATAATCTATTAGAATTATTTGAAACTGCTGTGTTCAATAAAGTTTATATATTATAAAATAGAGAGACAGTTATAACTTACATCTGCTTTGATCTAAAAGCAGAATATTATATTATATTGAATATCACTCTCTATATAAATAACATGAGTGATATAAAGAATTTCATGAGATTTATTTTGTCATTATTTTCAACTCTTTTATAAAATAACAGCAGTTATCTAGCAAAGTACAGTGTTGATTATAAATTCAATTTTTTTGAAGTGAATATATATAAATCATCTGCTATATTCTGTATGACTGCTGAAGCACTCAACTTTTTGATATGAAGAATATCACTTACAGATATACAGATTGATTTTCATATTTTCAAATTTCTAAAGATATATTCAATTCACTGAATACTGATAAATCATCTTTTATCAGTGATTGAGTTGAAAATTGAGAATGACATCTCTATAACACAGTATCATGTTGTGAAATGCTGATTTATCATTTGACAACTGAAAAAATACCACAATTTAACTAAGTATCTATATCAGAGACTAGTTTTGAAACTATTAGATAACTGAATTTTTATAAATATAGATAAATATAGACAACTGACTCTGTTTATTTCTTGACTTAGCTATATATATTATTATAAATCTGTTATAGTCAGCAAGGTTTCTCTGACTCTGATACAAGTCAAATATATAACTCTTTTTATTAAATAACTAAATTTATATTACTTCACTCAGTATAAAGCTGCAGAAGACTTTATCAGAGATTCTCAGCTGATACTTTTCTTCTTCTCTGAAGTAAATATCTCAAGTTCTGAAAATCAGAAAAAAATATTTATATTGATGCTATATGAGACTTTTTGACTTCATATTTTGATGAAATGACTCAGTTACAAAGTATTTGAGCTTAATAAAAAGTTAATTATTTGATGTGATGAATCAGATGAACAAGTGCTTGTGATAGAAGTATATACTCTTGTGAATATTTTATATTATATCTTTCATATCAGTCTGAAACCAAGCAAATATGTGGTGATGATGGCTAAATTTAATGAAAACAGAGAGAATTCAATAATATTTATCATCTTCTATTAAATTGAAAATACTGGATTCAACTTACAATATCTTTGTTGAAATACTCATTGCTATAATATAGCAAGTAATTACTCTATAATCAATCAAATCATTGAGTACATTCTTTATATTGAGCAAATTAGAATTATCAAGATTTATAAATATTTTATTCTCAATTTCTTTAATGTTTATAAGCTGCAGAAATTAAATTCAAGATATGTTCTGAGTTTTATAACTGAGTTGAATCAGACAATATTCAGAATGCACAAGAAAGAGGATTTTGAGAAGAATATAGATGAAATTGAAAAACTATATCTAGATTCTTGAATTAAGTTGAAAAATAAAATTATTCATTATTTAAACAATGATGAAGATATGCTGAAGAATATAAGTTCATTGAATAATAATATCTTAATTACTGAATTGATGAAGTTGTTTCAGAGAATGAATAATAATATTGATATAAACAGTATTCTGATTTCACTGAGTGAGGTTATTATCAACTAGCAGAGAAGTCACTGATTTTATTTATTTTCTTTTAGAGTTGAAATTTGAAAATGATCAGAGTTAGAATAGATAGAGTAATGATGTTATTAGTTAATTAGTTTATTTTTTTAATGAGAATAAATAGTATTGTAACTTTACAATCTCACTTTATTCTGTTCAGCTGTATATTTTATAAAGCTTCTACTATATAGTATTGTATCTGAGCTGTTCACCTCTTCAAAGCAACTAAAGATGCATTTCATTCTCTTGAATTTAGAGATTCATTTACCCACTCTCTGAAGAGAGGGTGCTGAGAGCAGATTGTCTCTGATTATTTAATAATACTGAATCTGTGAATCTGACAGTTACACTTCTTACTTCTCTCTGAATAAAAAATAACTACTTTTTTTTTCATACAATACAGTTAGTATCTGATTTATAATGAAAGTGAATCACTGATCTAGAGAGTGGTTTATTAGTACAGAGTCTGAAGAATCAGAGAGACAACTGATATAAAAACTTCTTCAAAAAATAGATAATATTCTGCTGATAAAAGATCATTATTAATGAGATTTGTATATATATATTCTCTGATATAATTGTCAGTGCTGCTGTAGAATCTCTGAAGCTGATCTATCAGTAAAAAAAACTCTTTTTTAATAAATTAACAGAGTTGTTGAAAAAATAGAGACAGCTCTAGAGAATCTATTATTTTCTTTCTCTTTATACAGAGTTGCTGAGACTTTGACTTTATATAATAATATAGAGTGTATTTTTAGATAAATTAGAGTGTACTGCTAGCAGCTCTGCTCTTCATTATATAAAGATTTATTATTATACAGTATATTCTCTTACTACAGCTGACTATTGTATGAAGACAACAGAGATAATAAGCTGATTGAAGAGAATAAATGAATTGACAGATTGACAATGATAATAAAAACAGTGAATTGTATCTATCTCTTTGTATTTATTCATCTCTCTATAATAATATCTTCTTCTTCTCTCTCTTTTCTTCTTCTTTTCTTCTTCTTTTAATATATTATCATATCAATTATATATATATAAAGCTCTGGCAGATTGCTTCATCAATTAGATATCACAGTATTAACTGCTCTCTTCTTTATATAATATAGAACTCTCTTTCTTCTTGATCTCTCTGATCTTCAGAGTCTTCATCACATTTTTTTTATAACTAATCAATAACTGAGTTTCTTTATTCACAGTTTATAATTCAGAGCAGTTCTGACTTTCTCAGAGTAAGATATATTCTTTATACAAGACAGCATAACAGAGCTGCAGATTCAAAGTCATCAGTCATTATATATCAATATCATTCTCATTCAATCTTACAGTTGAACAGAGTTATATATATATCTTATCTGCTGAAGTACTTATTCAGATCTTCAGTTATTCTCAGAATATCATTATCTATCTGATTACTTTGATGAAGCTTGTAGCAACTATAAATAACATGATTATATCATTCACTACTCTGTATAAGATGAAGAAGAAGTGGAGATAATAGAGATTGTAAATGATGAGAAGAATGATTCTCAACAGTAGATGAGGGATTTCTCTGAACAATAGCTGCTCACAGCTGATTCAACATCTGCTGCTTCTATAATTCTTGATTAGCTCTCTCTTTTCAGTATATATAATCTCTTTTTCTCTTTCTTTTTCTTTTTCTTTTTCTCTTCTGAAGAAGTAGATATATATTATTTCTATTTACTTCAGTTATACAGAGTCTATATATAATATCTAGACATGATCTGCATCTCTATATTGATGTCTAGAACTAGTAGCTCATATGATGAAATCAAGCAGATTATATAAATAGATAGAAGAAAGATAACTAGCTAGCTAGTCAGATCTATAGCAATTGATTTTTATTCATACTATTTTTCTTCAGTCAATCATCTTGTACAGAGCTTCAATAACTGCTAAGATAACATGCCAAGCAGACCCCTCCTGTATAACTCAGTTATCCAGGGGGGGTTTGGCCTGGGTGGCATCCAGTATAACCATGTTATCCAGAGGGGTCATGTTATAACGCCGCTAACGCGCCCCCTGGATAACTATTAATTAATTATATAAAGGTAGCTATTTGAGTAATTAATATCTAATAAAAGTAAATATATAGCTTTATAAATCGAGTTTTTTTAAAAGTTATTATTTGAATTTTATTTCTTTCTTATTATATATATAGAAATCTCTTTAGTGTAGCACATCTTCATATTCTTTGAGAGATCCCTAGGATACAGACACTGCCCACTCCCTCTCAGAACATTAAATTTATACATACATACATACATAGGCTCATTCACTAGTTTATTTAATCACGTGCCATGGGACAAATCCCAAACCTGGTCCAGTGACCACCTCGTTTTCCACTTCCACCAGCCTGCTGCTCAGTGTCACTTTTTTCCACAACTTCTTCTCCCACAATTCCTCTGGTCCAAGAGATCTCGTCTACTACTCGTCTGCCTTTTCACAAGTCAAATAGCTACACCTCCTTCCCAACTCACTAGCCAACTACTATCCCCCTGAAAACTCCTCTTCTCCGCACTCCCGATCAAGTCATCAACCCTGAACCTACCCATCCTTTTCCCCCTCCAAATAACCAAAAATAAAACCAAAAGAACAAATCAATAAAAGACCGAAAAATCTCCTACTTATTTACGTTTGGGCCACGCCGTCGGTCGTTGAACGTTTCTGGTGCACTTTACGCTTCGAAAGTGAAAACCCGCCAAGAACCTCACGAATTCTCACCTCGCCACCTGCTGTTGATCCAACAGCCCACGACGTCTCCACATCACCACGGTTGTCAGCCTGGCTGCAAGGTGGTACCTACTCCTGAACTGGAAGCACATATACCTGACTATCCCCGAACTACTCTCTCCCACTATCCCTGTGTTGGCTTCAAGCTTGCTCACTCGTCATGGCCGATGCGCTTGCTTCGCAATTGAATAGCACAAAGCTAGGGTCTGTTACACCTATATACATCGTTCATCCCGTCCCATCAACCCGGCGAAGATATAATATGTTCGCTCTAGGCTTCGTAGCTGATAGGGATTTTATTTACAGAGAAAGCCATTCCGAGAAATGGAGAGAAAATCTAAAAGTGCCCCCAAAAGACACACGAACTCAAACCGAGGTGAGATATACCTTTAAAAAAATGCTTGACCTCCATCTAGTTTGACCTCCCAATCTTACCGATGTTCTGTATTTTAGGATGTCACGGCTACGAAAGGTCTAGAGTTCGAGGACTTCTACATTAAGCGGGAATTGATGATGGGTATTTTTGAGGCTGGTTTTGAGAAGCCCTCCCCCATCCAAGAAGAAACTATACCCGTGGCCCTCACTGGGCGGGATATCCTTGCACGCGCGAAAAACGGAACAGGAAAGACTGCTGCCTTTGTTATCCCGACGTTAGAACGAACGAATCCCAAAAATTCCAAAACACAAGCCCTCATCCTGGTCCCTACAAGAGAACTCGCTCTTCAAACATCGCAAGTGTGCAAGACCCTTGGGAAACATCTTGGTATCAATGTTATGGTCACGACTGGTGGCACGGGCCTTCAAGATGATATTATACGGCTGAATGAAGCAGTTCACATCATCGTTGGCACTCCTGGGAGAATACTGGATCTTGCTAGTAAAGGTGTGGCAGACTTGTCAGATTGTTCGACTTTTGTTATGGACGAGGCGGACAAGCTTCTCTCACCCGAGTTCACCCCGGTTATCGAACAGCTTCTGTCGTTCCATCCCAAGGACCGTCAAGTAATGCTTTTCAGCGCAACATTCCCACTGATCGTCAAATCTTTCAAGGTAAGCGCTCCCTAAAACCCTGAGGTTGGTTCCACGTGATCACCTAATACGTTTTGTTTGAAAATAATATAGGACAAACATATGAGGAATCCTTACGAGATCAACCTCATGGACGAGCTTACACTTCGGGGCATCACGCAGTATTATGCATTCGTCGAAGAAAAGCAAAAAGTCCACTGTCTGAATACTCTCTTCTCCAAACTCCAAATCAATCAATCTATCATTTTCTGCAACTCTACGAACCGTGTTGAACTACTCGCCAAGAAAATCACCGAACTGGGGTACTCATGTTTTTATTCTCACGCTAAAATGTTACAGCATAACCGAAATCGTGTGTTCCACGACTTCCGTAACGGCGTTTGCCGAAACCTGGTCTGCTCAGACCTGTTGACACGCGGCATTGATATTCAGGCAGTGAATGTCGTGATCAACTTTGATTTCCCCAAAAATGCCGAAACTTATCTTCACCGCATTGGTCGATCAGGTCGGTTTGGACACTTGGGTTTGGCTATTAACCTAATCAACTGGGAGGATCGATATAACCTGTATAAAATTGAACAGGAGTTGGGCACTGAAATCCAGCCAATCCCCCAATCCATCGACAAAAAGCTCTATGTTTACGACACACCCGACACCATCCCCCGACCCACTTCTAACGTTGGCCACCAGCAGCAGCAGCAGCAACAGCATCAGCATACTTCCGAACCGCCGCAACATCCTAACAATCCAGGAAATCACAATCGCCGACATGGCCAGCATCAATATGCTTCCAATAGGGGCCGTGGATCTTATCGTGGCGGTCGTGGCCAAGGACACCGGGGTGGCTATGGAGAAAATCATCGCCAGAACTGCACCGCACCGCGACCAAGCGCAGCCGCATCTGCACCCGCGTCGTAACTGGACATTACAAGTTTTTCAGTATCGGATTGTCTAATGATTGGAGCTAAGCATCTCTGCTAAAGTTGATCGATGTCTTATCCACCATTTATAGCTGTTCGGATTTCGAAAATATACCTTCATTTCATTCGTTCCTCGCCTCGGCCAGATTTTTATTCCATGTCAACCACATATTAAAAAATCATCGTCATTATCTTGGTCCTTGTAGTATTTGCAAAACTTCCACCCAGACTGCCTTAGTTTGTCCTATGAGGTCATATTGCTTGGCATAATCGAAATTCCTGTATTTGCATGAACTCCTGGAATTGCAACGAGTTATGTATCATATTTTCATATTTTCCCTTACTCCCCCACGCCCCCGACCCCTTTATCCCATTCCTCATTTTCGATCCTTTTCCGTCTTCGATCTGTCATATCCGGTGGACTTCGCTTGGGTTTGACGTTGTTCTTCTTAGATGGAACAACGCCGTCTCTGCACCACCTGTGATTATTATCCTGCGATATATTCATTATGCAGGAGGAACTGCAAAATCGATGTTGAGGGTGAACTCTTCGGCTACATCAGCGCAAATTGAGAAGGTGTTGACATCCTCTCAAGCATTTTAAATGAATTACCGAAGCGGAGTTCGTTTAAGAGCCATTTCCCCTTGCCTTTCGCTTCTTGTTATATCCTCCCACCGGTCTCCCGACATTTTAGTAACACTGCTCTGGATCTCACCACAAGTCGTCGTCCGTTTGCGAACCACCTTTCCTCGGCGAGTAGAGCTACCCTCCTCATCCACTCCACTTGGCCCACATTTCCTTCGGGACCCAAACGTCGCTAATTAATTTCGATCGGTGCCAACGTGTTAATCTCGACTACCCAATCCCTATAGAGACCCTCGCAAAATCCAACAAAGATACACAAAAGAAATCAAGAAAGAAATTTATAGAATATAAAATTCCAACCACTAAACACCTAAAAAAGCCAAAAAAAAGGTCAGCGGGGAGATAACTAAGTGCGGATACATATTGAGGGTTTTATTTGGAGTGCGAATTGTGTTCTTTGTTTCTAAAACAAAGAAACCCCAAGTATACAACCATAATACACAGGCCCCTCCACGTGTCAAAAATTATATATATATAGGTATCAAAAACGCAAATAGCAAAATTTGTCTCTCCTCTGCCAAAAAGTCCTACTTTCTTGCTAGATGTAATGAATTATATATAAATGTATATATTGCTAGAAGAGGTCAAGCCGTATTTGCCAGCTTTATGATGAACCCAGAGCTGATTCTGTATTTCACATAAAGATCAATTTTATTAGTCCATATTCTGTTCTTGAAATCGACGGGCGCCAAGCCCAACTCAAAACTCGCAAGCCTCTTAAGGTTCGGAAAAGATCCAAGTTAACTGCCGCAAGCGAAACCGATTCATGCTCTCGAACAAGGACAGAATCAGGGCATCTTCGTCCTGCTGAGCGGGTCCTATTTACAAGAGATACATACATACATAGCTGTCGGCTATGGCGACGTCAGAGAGCGATCAAAGGCCAAAGGTCCCATAAATTATTGCCCCTTCACCACAACGTCTTGAGATTTTCTTAGTGGCTAACACGTACATCGCATTCGCCTTGTTAATGATAGCCCGGTAGTCTACGGTCGATTATTGCCGGGTCGACGGCTGGAGCTGTTGAGATCTGTACGTTGCTGTTCCTCAACCGTTGCGTTCCATTGCCATTTGATCGATTTGAGTGATTTTTCAAGTTAATTAAATTAACCGGAGTTCGTTCTACAACTCTTGATTGATAACAGCCATTACATATCCCGCCGAATGTATGATACCAAACTATCCTAAGTCTTCTCCCTCTTCCCATCCTTCTACGTTGGCAGCGCTAAAGTTGACGGCCACAAACAGTCGCGAAGACTAGAACGCAGCTCAACCATCGGTTACCAGACTCGAAAAAGCTCCCCTGGCCTCCCTTCGGAAAGGCGTGGTACGCGGGGTGTACAACGTTGATTATTGGCAATTCTCTCAAGGCGGGGATCCGTAAGTGGTTTCCTTTTCTTTTTGGTAATTTTAAAGGTATATATCATACCTGTGTATTTGTGTGGAGTGTGTCGATAGGGGGCTAAAATCCCATTGCTTGGGGTTGGATTGGCAGGATTCGTGGCATTTGATTTCTTTAAGTCTATGTTACAAGACGAGGACGGCAAGATTTCTGGGCCGCGGACTGTAATCGCCGGGCTTGGTGCTGGCTTTACAGAGTCACTGTTGGCCGTTACGCCTTTTGAGAGTATCAAGACACAGTTGTACGCTCTTGCCCTGTCTCTTCGCTCTTCTCTCCCACCATGCCGATACTAATTTACCTCAGTTATGTGCTAACTGTCCCACACATAGGATCGATGACCGCAAATCCGCTAGCCCACGCATGCGCGGCTTTCTCCATGGCACCGGGGTAATATTCCGCGAGCTCGGGGTACGCGCATTCTTCCAGGGCTTTGTGCCAACGACGGCACGACAGGCTGCTAACTCTGCCACCCGTTTTGGCAGTTATACGACCATCCGGCAGTTTGTGCAGGGATATGTAGCGCCAGGGGAGAGGTTGGGCGCTGCGAGTACGTTCGCCATTGGAGGACTGGCAGGTCTGATCACCGTGTATGTTTCGTTTTCTCTTCCCCATGTTGTGACTTAGTGATGTGAAAATGGGTTTAGCTCGAGTGTTGACTCTTTGTCTGTTGGTGTAGATATGTGACCCAACCCCTGGATACGATTAAGACTCGGTTAGTTTTACCTTTTAGCCCTCACAGGTGAGTAAAGAGAGAGAAGGGGACTGAGACTGACATGTATGTTCAGAATGCAATCCATCGAAGCTCGAAAGAACTATAAGAATAGTTTTGTTTGCGCGACTACCATTTTCAAAAACGAGGGCGTTCTCACATTCTGGTCAGGGGCTTTGCCGCGGTTGGCACGTCTGGTTATAAGCGGAGGTATTGTTTTCACGATGTAAGCATCTGTATCTAATCTACCCATCCCAAAAGCTATCCTTTCACTTTTGTTGAACAAGGCAAATTGATACCCTTTGGGCCCAGAATCCATCACTAATAATATCCATTGAAACAGGTATGAGAAAACGATGGAGGGACTGGACGTGTTGGATCCAGAGAGGAAGTACATCTAAATTTTCCCCACCTTATTTATTGTATAACCTTTCTGGTTGATATGGGTTTAAACCCTGCTTGAAAATAGACACTAGACTCATTCATTGCGATTGAAACAAAAAGTAATATTCAAAAAACCTCCGGGAGTGTGTAGGACAATTGTGATTATTTCCTGAAGGATTAAATCAAGCATATATGTCCAACATTTATATACTGTATATGGGGTAATAATCACAAAGTCCTCTCAAGACCTCGCCCGCTTTTTCGCCGCCTCCTGTGCCATTTTCATTTGCTCCTCCGCAAACACATCATCGACCTCCCGATCAACAAGCCATCCCCTCACACTATCCATAATCTTCTCAAGGCCATCACCACCCTCCATGATACTTCCCAGGTTATGCAATGTCAGCCCACTGCGATGATCTGTGCATCGGTTCTGTCCAAAATTGTACGTGCGGATTTTATCCCCTCTCCCCATCTTTGCCACACCACCCATGACTCCCCGCCGCAATTTCACCATCTCCTCCTCTCTCGCCTCACGTCGCTGCTGCGCAATCCTAGCCCTAAGGAGATGCCACGCCTTGCGCCGATTCTCGTGCTGTGACCGTGAATCCTGCATGCCTACCACAATTCCTGTGGGGATATGCGTCAGTCGGATTGCGGATTCGGTTTTATTGACGTGCTGCCCACCAGCCCCGCCTGCCCGCATTTTCTCCACATTCACTTCCTGTGGATCTATGTAGTAGTCGGAATTGGGGTCGTCGAAATTTAGCTCACTGTCCCCTTCCCCAATGTTGGACGAGAACGAAGGCAGAATCACCACGCTGACAGCACTGGTGTGCGTCCTGCCTTTGTTTTCAGTTGTCGGTACTCTCTGCACGCGATGCACACCCGCCTCTGTCCGAAGCGTCTCATAGCTTCCCGGTGTCTCGATTTCCATCACTGCCTCGATTAATCGATCCTCGGACCCGCCATTCGCACCGGCATTTTCGCATTCCTTTTTTAAGAGAGTGGTGCGCAGGCTGCGGTTGGAGCAGAACATAGTATACATGCGCAGGAGCTCGTTGGCGAAGATGCCAGCTTCTTCGCCGCCGGCGCCGGGGCGAAGTTCGAGAAGACAAGGTAGATCCGCAAAGGGGTGGCGCGGGATCAAGGTTTGCTTGAGATTGCTCGACAAAATGGTGAGAGATGCTTTTGCCGATCGGAGGTCTTCGAGAGCGAGGGAACGGAGTTCGGAGTCTGTGGATGGGTCTTCTAGAAGGTTGTTGAGCTCTGAGATTGACTACAAATATCAGAGAATTTAATTAGACGATTTCCATTTCGCTTGACGAATTTCCCTAGGATATTTATCAAAAAAGACTCAAACCTCATTTGCCTTCTCCCATTCTTTCAATGTTGTCGCCGTGGTGGCCAGCTCTCCAGCACGCTTCGCTGTTTTGGGATCGAAGGTTTCTGCCAATCTGGAAGTAAGGGTTGAATGCTCATCGGCGATTGACCGTGCCCGGCTGAGGAGAATAGGAGATATAGAAATTTCTGGGGCCAGGACTAGATTTATGAAAAATTAGTGTATACAAAAATAAGAGTACGCATTGTTCCATAAAAGGAGATGTATTGCTTACGAGTGGAATCAAACCGGAGTTGAATCCGCCATTGTTTGCGCTGTGTGAAGCCCACAGACCGTATCAGATATCTAGAACATACCCATGGCACATTGAACATACTCGAGATCCAGGCAACCTAGACTGTCCGACGTCCACCAGAATGAATGGTTATGTCAATATGTTGCATTCCATGTTTGAAAGAGATGAATGGGCATCTGCATTATTTTTGAAGACTTGTTGCCTAGTTTGGGTTAGCGTAACTGCCAAATCGAACATCGGAACAATGGTGCTCCGGCGATGATGGTATTGCCTCGTGGCATTTGGCTCTCGCTGAGGTACGTTTGCGCCTCCACTCAATTCCCCCGATGTATTTCTCCTTACTTCTCCCCCTCTACTTTCAACGCGAGAGCCTGCCGTCTTGGTATTTGGTATTAATTCCCATCTATAGACAATATAGTTGCGCTCATCAAGCATTCTTGGCGCGTCTTCGATGACCACATTACCCTCCTCACAATGATACTCCGACTGCAAAGTCTTGCTTTTCTCCTTGGTCTTATTTCTACGGCCAATGGCCTGCAGCCCTCGGATATCCCTTCAGATACGCCGCTCTCATCTCTCATCTCTACTGCTAAATCTTACCTCAAAAATGGCGTCCCTCAAGATGCACTGCCTTACTTCGACGCTGCAATTTCTCGAGACCCCACGAACTATCTGACTATCTTCCAACGCGGAGCCGCCTACCTTTCTCTTGGCAAAAATACCAAGGCCCTGCTAGATTTCAATGACGTACTGAAAATCAAGCCAGACTTCGAGGGTGCTTTGATACAACGGGCTAGAATTAGGTTGAAGTCGGCAGATTGGGATTCTGCAAAGAAAGATCTGGAAGCTGCGGGGAAGAACACTGCCACGGAAATTGGGGAACTCAAAGAAGCTCGGGAAGCTGCGCACTTAGCTGAGGTTGCGGAAAAGAATGGTGACTGGGATACTTGTGTATTGCAATCTGGAGTTGCTATCTTGAAGGCGAGCCAATCCTTGTCCCTACGACAGTTGCGGGCACGATGCCGCTTTGAACGGGGTGACATCCAAGAAGGAATAAATGACCTAGCGCGTGTTTTGCAAATGGCTCCTGGCTCGGTAGAGCCGCATCTAAAAATGTCTTCAATGCTTTTCTACTCGCTGGCGGATACGGAACATGGGATAGCGCAAATGCGGAAATGTCTCCATTCGGATCCCGACTCCAAAGCGTGTAGCCGCCTATTCAAAAGAGAAAAGTCAATAGCGAAAAAGTTGGCTAACATCGAGAGTCTTCGCGAAGGACGGAAGTTCAGCAAGGCTGCTGAGATCTTGGTTGGTAATAAGGACGAAACAAGCCTTCTCGAAGAGATAAAGGATGATGTGAAAGCGGCTCGTGAGACTGGCTATATCCATCCAAAAGCGCCAAACACACTCTATAACAATTTAGTCGAGAGGACTTGCGAAACATATAGACAGGTTCGGGCGAGCGAAACTCCGAATTTAAAAAATATCATAAAACTAACTTGACATCTATTGCACAGATGAATTTGAAAAAAAAAGCACAATCGTACTGCACAGAAGCCTTGGAGCTGAATCCCCATTCCCTCCCTGGCCTCCTCTCCAAAGCCGAAGCGCAGCTCGACGCTGATGAATTTGAAGCGGCTATTCAAACCCTCAAGTTTGCCAGGGAGCACCACGACAACACTCAAGATATCCAATCCCTCCACCAGAAAGCTCAGATCCTCCTTAAACGCTCGAAACAAAAGGACTACTACAAGATCCTCGCTGTCGACCGTGAGGCGGACGACAGGACTATCAAGCGTGCATATCGCAAGATGACCAAACAATTCCATCCGGATAAAGCGATTTCACAAGGTATTTCCAAGGAGGATGCGGAGAAGAAAATGGCTGCCATTAATGAGGCATATGAAGTCCTTTCGAACCCCGAATTGCGCGCTCGTTTCGATAGTGGCGAAGACCCTAATAAACCAGAGGGCCAGGGCAACCCGTTCCAGGGCGGTCCGTTCGGACCTCATGGAGGCCAGGGACAACAATTCTTTTTCCAGCAGGGAAGCGGAGGCCCGCATTTTAAGTTTTCAGGTGGAGGCTTTAATTTCCCTGGAGGATTTCCGTTTGGTTAATATATTCTTTTATATTGGTTTCGTCTTTTCCTATTTCCCATCTCGTCACTGTTGTTTATAGCATGTCGTTTTCTTCTTTCCCTTTCCCGCCCCTGTTCCGCCCAAACAATCTCAATATTCTCCTTGTTTTCCTTTTCTCCTCTCTCGTCCCTCAGGAAGATTTCAAGGCTAAAAATGCTCATTTCTCTTATCATCATCAACTACTCTCTTTTACTTGTAGCTTTTCCGGTCTTACGCGTCATTTTCTGTACATATCCATCACTTCTTTGTTATCTCCTTTTGCTAGAATTGGTGAAGGGCACTTTGTTCAAACTACAGACGACAAGTTACATAGGGTTCTGATCATGGATGCCTGTAAAACATAACCTTTATGACCTTCTCTTTTAGGAACTTTATTGAGCTAAACGGCTGTCCTTCGCCTTACGTTCCTTTCATGAGAGGGAAAGATTGGGTTTCATTTGGTTGACCTTTCGTAGGAAATAAAACGAATGAGTGTGTCATTTATTAGTTGGCCAATTCTTTAGCTCGTTTCCCCTCGTTATGCGAGCCGAATTTCAGGCATCTGTAATAGACCTTGGAAGTGAGAAAACCCCTTCTCCCATAACCAAATTTTGAAGGATTAATAATACGATATATAATAATAATAATAAAAGCTATGCATAAAAATATAATTGGAGAGTGAGACATGAAAACCGAATTATTCATCGCTCACATTGTTTGACGCCATCACACCCTCTCTTTCGGTGCATCTGTCAACGGCACATAACTAACCCCAAAAATCTTCTCCTTTACCACGCTGCCATCATTATTTTTATCCACAACCCACACATTCTGCGTGCCACCACCCAGGCCAAACGACCCCACTCCATTTCCCCCCGCAGACTCGACAGGAATAAACATACGGCCAGGCGCGCGGAGCTGATCAATCAGCGTCGGATGTATCATCTCTGCCGCTGCACCAACGTGGATGGCGTCATAAGGTCCGCCCTCTGGATACCCTAGCCTGCCATCGCCAAGGACAAAACGAACTTTTCCCGACTCGAGAAGATCGCGGCCCGACTGGGATTTGGCCATGTTTGTATTACACATGTCGACTAGGGCCTTAATGTGGTCAATGCCGATAACAATACCCTTAGACGGAGTAGAAGCATCGTCTGTAATGAGGTTGGCGAAAACATGGGTTAAGTAGCCCGAGCCCGAGCCAATGTCCAGCACACGTGAATCCCGGTTCAGGTATGGGAGGAGTAATTCGCACGCGTGCGCATGCATGTGTGGTGCCGAGATTGTGGCCGCGTAGCCGATTGTTTGCGGGGAGTCTTCATACGGGCTTGAAGGAGAATAGTAGCCGCGGTCGACCTGGAGTTGATAAAGTTAATTTTTATAATTCCAGCTACATGATATGTGAAGGAGGAGGGGGTTAACTAGCAATGCTTTTCGCAGCATCACTTACGGCAAGCATAGCACTCTTCACCCTCTCATGCTTGATAAGACCATTCTTAAATAGATTGTTAATCAGCTGCGAATTTGAGTTTCCCGAGCTCTGCCAGGCCATATTGGTATATCTCTTGAGGATGCAGTTCGCGATTGCGAAGGATTCGGGTTGAGAGGAAAGGGGATATTGTTGAATGTGCCGGACCTGACGGAAGGCGGCTCCGTGGAATACTGAAAGTAACCCTACGCAGAGAGCGAGGAGCATGTAGTGGCGAAACAACTTGAGGGAAATTCGAGAGGCTGTCTATGGTTTGAGCTCTATCCTGGGGGGTTAACACTGAAGATAAAAAACCACCTCTAGGTTTGGCAGAACAATTTTTCAGAGTCCAGTGTGTTATTGCTCAGGAAGCTTCTGTAAGAGGGGTATATTTGTTGCATATAATGCTGCAAAGTTACAATGTTGTTGAAGCTGTGATGTTGTTGGTTGCTGGTTGAGTATGACAATGCTTTTGTCACTCCGGAAGGTGCAGCTATGACGTCAGACAGAATTTCCTCCCCCAAAGAATAAAACCTTGAACCGTCAGCAACCATGAACCCACCGTTGGATTCTAACTTTTACAGAGGAAAGAATCAAAGAGAATAGAAGGCACTAGTAATATATGGATATAATCATCTTGGATATTGAAACACTTATGCTTTGATCCATAGAAATAGTAGACTGAGAAGCCAATAACCCCTCCATTTCCATGCCCTTGCACCCCTTTGCAGCCGCTCATAACACCAGTGCTGAAAAAGTATATATATGCAGATATGCACCCAACATTTCATACAAGGTGCATTTCATCAGCTGGCTCGACTGTCTCCTCCTGTTGACGCTGCTCTTCTACTGCCTGTGCCTGGTTTGGTTTATCATCCTGTTCTTTATCACCAATGTCCTCCCAAGCCAAATCCTCCTCCTCCGGATGAGTGAAGAATTCATGACGCAAGGCCTCTTTGGCCGTGGGCCGTTTGCTAGGATTCAATTCCAGGAGCATAGAAAGAAAACTAGTAGCTTGTTTTTCGCTTTCCGTGAGTTGCGCCACGCAGCTAGACCACAGCACTATCTTTTCCCAGGAATACCCCTTCTCGCCAATGGTGGGTAAGTTCGTTTCGAAAACCTGTCCATGCAATGCTGCCGCAGCTTTCATGCGGCGTGACCCAAATATGCTTGCAATCTCAATCATGGCATCTACATCGTCTGCAGAATTGAAGAAGGGAAAACGTCGACCGAGGAGGGTCAGTAGTATGACTCCAGCCGACCAGATGTCAATCTTTGTCGTTTGCGACGTGCATTTGAACAGGACCTCTGGTGCACGGAAGCCCCTGGTTCCCGCACGGTTTGCACGCCGTGAAGGGCGCGAGTCGTTTTTAGGATATCCTGCAGACTGGGCATTGGAACGAATGTTTGTTTGCAACCACATGGCGCGATATTTACTTGCTGTAGAGTTCTGGGCGCAGTGGCAGAGTTCCCCGCCTAGATATTCGCGCTGATTGATGATCGGGTGTTTTAGCTCTATCCACGAATTTGTGGCTGGCGAGAAGGCGGTGGAAAATGGATATAGCTTACCTCTGCGAGGCCGAAATCAACAAGAACACCTCGTCGAAGTTTTGGGTTGTATAAAAAGTTGCTGTAACCGTGTTAGCTGTGGTTGAACTCGCGTTATGTTTGGGAGATAAAGGAACTGACGTTGGTTTGATATCTCGGTGGATGATATCAGCTTTGTGAACTGCATGGAGGGCGGTAAAAAGAGAACGGAAGTAGTGTCTCATGTCAGAAACAAGGAACGTGCGATATTGGACTCGAAAGTCAGTATGAGGGAAGTATGGTAATACTGCCACTACCTGGTCTTGGTATCGGAATGCAGTTACAAGAGGGCAGACGGAACGACTACCGTAGAGGTCGTTCAATAGCTCAAGCTCATTTTGGATTCTACTTGGGCTACTAGTAACATAGATCTTTTTCAACGCAACGTAATGAGGCCTCCGTTTAGCCTTCCGTTGGGATTTAGACGAGTGTCTGTCGGTGGACTGCAGATTTCTGTTTCGTTCATGATCCTGGTCATCAGACTTTCGCTCCCAGTCCCATTCATTTTCATATTCATCATATAGAAGATCTTCAGCTTTATAGACGGTAGAAAACGTGCCTTTAGAGAAGTGTTAGTTGTTGCGGTAATGTGTGAGCGTCTTGGTGGACGCAAATATCCCCAATTGAACTGACTGACCTTCTCCGATGCGATTGATCAGGCGATACATGCTAGAGATACCCTTAAAAGTGCCCTCGAGTTTTCTCATATCTTCCGCCACAGCCTCATCCACTTCTTCCTGCTCACTGGCTTCTGACAAGTTTTGTTCATCGCTTCCAACGCTGTGAGAGTCTTCATCAGTGGGGATAATGCTTTCACCATCGTCCGTGTCAAAGGAGCCACACCCTTCTTCTCCGTATTCTTCAGCAATGCTCGGTATTTCAACGAGGGAGAGTGATTCCGCTGTATAATTTGTGGTGGTCATCTTGAAGCATGAACAAGATAATTTGAGTGGGATTAGCCCCAACCAGCACTGGAGTTAGGGTTTGACCACCTCGGTCAATTTAGCGCAATATTTGTCTTATATACTTGTATTATTTTATTTCAAAAGCATTTATTAAGCGGCATTCTAACGTCTTCATAAGTGGCTGCGATGAATAACCACTGACGAGGGCAAATTTTCGCAATCGCGGTCGCGTGTTGGAAGGATGCCAAAAGCAGCTTGAAAGGGAACTAACTATATTTGGAAGTAGCTGCAAAAAGTTAATTACCCAAAACAAAAATCAAATAAATTACATTGTAAGTTATTCAAGGCTGCTCTGTCCATGGCCAAGGGCAGCAAAGTAGTTGCCGCAGAGCTAACATTCTTTTTCCTCTAGTTATATATTTCTTCAGCGGTCTAGATACGAAGCCAGCCAGGCTCCCGTCTCCCTATATAAACTGTGCAATTGGTTTTACTGCAATACTGCCCAAGCTGATTCGAGATTCGGTACCCACAAAACGAGTCCAGTACGTGTAATACCATTATGGCAGACTAACCATGCCAGGAAGAAAACAGCGCCGCCTGGGTCGTCCCAAAGAGGCAAAAGACAAACAAAACACCACTTTCAATCATCAACATCAGCCCGATCATCTCCTGGAGCTGGACCCGGACCAGGAACCTCCCCTTTCATCATCTGTATTTTCTACCTCCCGCAATTCTCCCCTGTTCCTCCCTGTACATATGACACCCTCTATATGGTTTCATGAAACCATGGATTTCGATATCAATGAATCTCTTAAATATTATTTGAGTGACCCCTCCTCTGTTCCTACCCCGGAAGCAGACCCGGAGCTGCTGGACCGCGAAAATGACCCTGAATCGTTAACCAGTCCTGTGATAAACGGGGTGCTAAATCCCATCGTCGACGCTGTAGCCGAAAACCCAGAAGGCCTGGGAAGAAGCAGCTTCTTCGACTCATTACAATTTCTTCTCAAGTGTGCCCCGACCTCTCGTGTCTCTCTACAAAATATCCATCAGCATGAACCAGACTCTGAACTCTCTAAACTATCTAGATTATCTTCCCAGCTCCCGACAAAAGCCCTCAGCAAGATTCTGGATCTTGTTATCTCGGGTCTTGCTGTCGAAGCCGATATTATCCACCATGATATGGAGTCCGACGAATCCGATACTGTGCAACACCATAAACAGCTTCTGGAAATGTACGCATTCTTGCTGCAGTGGACATTGTCTGCAGTAGAGACAAAACTGGCAGAAAAGCCCGCTATAGCAGCCCATGTGCGACGCGGGGCCGGGAAATCAAAACCAAGGCCCTCTCCAAACGATGAACGCTGGGACTCTTCCACCCAAATCCAGACTGCCATGGAAGTTATGTGTAAAGTATTGAAGCTGAAGCTGGGAAAAATATTCATGACTACCTCTGATCGTGACACATTTGTGAACCTTTTTACCAGGACAATATACTTAATTTTAGAAAGTGAGCAGCGGGTGAAGAGCATGTCTATTCGAATGCATGCATTCAAAGTGCTGTGCATTGCTGTTAAGCATCATGGCCATGCTTTTGGTAACATCTGATTTTGGTACTTTCTCTGTTTGGGGTTCTTCGCTAACAAAGATACTAGGAGCACAAACCTCCATTGTCCAAAGCCTCACATACTTTGAGCACCTTTCAGAGCCCATGGCGGAGTTTCTTCATATTCTCGCTGAACAGTACGATTATCCGCAGTTGTCAGATGAAATATTGAGGTATAAGAAATGATTGAATGTTTAAATCCAATCGTTTAAATCCAATCCTCACTTACGAATTTAATAGGGAAATTGGCAACAAGGAATTCAATTCGAACGACAGCAAGGGGCCGAAATCGGTCTCAGCGTTTATTATCAGACTTTCAGAACTTGCACCTAGACTTATAATTAAGCAAATGACTCTTTTGGCGAAACAACTTGATAGCGAGGTGATTCAATATATATAATCCTTTGCGATGGCCAACGTGCGGTGTGGCTGACGATGATACAGGCTTATACGTTGCGATGCGCGGTTATTGAAGTGTGCGGCAACCTGATATCAGATTTAAGCAAGCAGGAAGAAAGAAATGAGAACCACACAACGCAGATTAACTCATTTTTCGAGGTGTTAGAGGAACGATTTTTAGACATCAATCCATATTGCCGATGTCGTGCCATCCAGGTTTATATGAAGCTTGCCGAACTGGACCAAAAATTTCCAAAACGTCGACAAACGGCAGCGGAGCTTGCGGCTAGGAGTCTCGAAGACAAAAGTAGCAACGTTCGCAGGAATGCAATCAAATTGCTGGGTAAATTGGTGTCTACGCATCCGTTTAGTGTAATGCATGGTGGTCAGCTTTCGTACAAGGAATGGGATGCGAGACTACAGGCTGTAGATGCGGAATTAAACTCGCTGAGGCCTCCTCCCGAGACACCTGGCCTCGGCGAAGATGTGGATGCCACCAACATTGACAGTGAACTGCTTGACGATGTTACGCAGATGCCCGATGACTCTCCCTCAAAGGCTCCAAGAATGACCGAGGAACAGAAACAACAGGCTATGAGAATGGCCGCAGAAGAGGCAGCAACCTCAGAACTGCTCACAAGACTCCAACTGACCAGGAAATATTACCTTGAGGCAATTCGATTTATCGAGGTCCTTCACCATGCTTCACACATCGTTTCACAGCTTTTGTCGTCCCGAAATAAAAGCGAAGTGATCGAAGCAATGGATTTTTTTGTCATCATTGATGCTTACAAAGTTGAGACTGCCCGCGCTGGTATTAGACGAATGCTCCGCTTGATCTGGACCAAAGGCAATAGTGACGAGGGCAAAGGCGTTCAAAGCCATTTAATCGATTGCTATAAGGGTTTGTTTTTTGAGGCTCCGGACTCCTTTAGTTCTAACGATGCTGCGAACTACATCGCCCGCAACATGATCAGCCTCACTTTTGGGGCAACCCCCGCCGAGCTCACTTCGCTGGAACAGCTGCTCAGTACTATGATGAAAATTGGTCATATTTCCGATGTGGTTATTGCCAAGCTATGGCAGGTGTACAGTGTCCAGAAGAAAGAAATCTCCAAGACTCAAAGGAGAGGGGCAATTATCGTTCTTGGTATGATTGCTCTAGCTGACCCTGAGGTTGTGGTGCGAGAGATCGAAGCGATGCTTCGCGTCGGCTTAGGAACCCTTGGAAGGGCAGACCTTGTACTCGCCAAATACACATGCGTTGCCCTAAAAAGAATGAAATCCGGTCGGCAGGCAAAGTCGAAGGATGCCTCCTCTCCTAAGCTGTCGAATGACCATGCTGTACTGAGCAAACTAGCTGCAATTATCGAGATTGACTCGGACAGCAAGGAGTGGTATGGTGTTGCGGAACATGCGATTGGAGCGATATATTCACTCGCGAAACACCCCGATGCTCTTTGTTCTGAAATCCTTCGCCGGAAAACCAGGTTTGTATTTCAGCCACATGCACGACCCTGTTCATCTCAAGATAATACCAGCATGGCCTCTTGTAGCTTGGAGGAGTCTCAAACCCCTAGACAAAAAATGAGCTCTGTTCCACTGTCACAGTTACTTTTCATAGTCGGCCATATCGCTATCAAACAAATCGTCCACCTTGAACTTTGCGAACTTGATTTCAAACGTCGAAAGGCTGAGCAGGAAAAAAACAAAACTACAAACCAGGCGTTCCCGAAGAAGCATGAGACGTCTGAAGATGATGAACTCGATCTCATTGGCGGCACCACAGAAGACGATTTTACGGAAGCTATGGCTCATATTCGTGAACGTGAGCTACTATATGGACCGACGTCACTACTTACCAATTTCGGCCCTTTGGTTGCTGAGATTTGCGCTAATAATAATACTTACCCTGATCGCAATCTGCAAGCTGCCGCAACTCTGTGCATGGCTAAACTTATGTGCGTATCGGGTGAGTATTGCGAGAAGAACCTGCCTCTTCTCATCACCATAATGGAACGATCGGAAGACCCAATAGTTCGAAGCAACGCTGTCATTGCCCTCGGCGACATGGCTGTCTGCTTTAACCACCTCATCGATGAGAACACCGATTTTCTCTACCGACGACTTAATGATAGTGATGTCTCCGTCAAACGGACTTGTCTGATGACTCTAACATTCCTCATCCTAGCTGGCCAAGTGAAAGTCAAGGGCCAGCTTGGCGAGATGGCAAAATGTCTCGAGGATGATGATAAGTGTATCGCTGATCTGGCGCGGATGTTCTTTACCGAGCTGGCCACGAAAGATAATGCAGTCTACAATCATTTCGTTGATATGTTTAGCTTGTTGAGTACGGAGAAGAGCTTAGAGGAAGATGCGCTGCGGAGAATTATCAAGTTCTTGGCCGGTTTTGTTGAGAAGGTATGATTTCCATTCATCAATTAATGATTCTATTACCATACGCATTATATTGACGTTATTCCCAGGATAAACATGCCAAACAGCTAGCCGAAAAACTTGCGGCCAGATTAGCCCGGTGTGATAATGAGAGGCAATGGAATGATGTTGCATATGCCCTGTCGCTCCTGGCACACAAAAACGAGGAGATCACCAAGACAATCACTGCCGGGTTCAGAGTTGTCAAGGCAAATGCCTAGGTTGAGTCTTTTCTTCTACTTGAGGGATTTTCTCTTATAGCTTTTCGTTTTGTTGGAAGGGGCCTCATGGGAGTCTGTAGTCCAGCTCCCATAACGATTGGCGTCTATGAATACAGGTTGTTTTTGTTTGGCATTCACTGGGTACACTCTTGTTCGTCTCTCTATGGTGATCAGCTTATAATAACGATTGGTTGTAATAGTACATTTCTTCCCATCATTTCAATTGTGTTCTATGTTATTATATTATTCCGCAACATCATTATTTTGAGAGCTGCTATTATTTCGACACGAGGAATAATTAGGTCTCTCACCATTCAAAAGACGATTTGTGAACTACCCTTCAGAGACGGCAAACTGCCAACACTGGCTTTTCAAACAGAGAGGAATATTGTTACATGCAGCACAATCATATCTTGATCTTGGAGCTCTATCTTTATTCTACTTTGTTTTCTTTCTTTTATACTGACACCAGGCACAAGCTTGAGGTCCTGGCAGAGGAATTTGATGGTGATTTGGATTTGGATTTGATTGAGTAGTAGGTAGAGGATTTGAGAATTCCAGGAGTTGAAGATAAAGCTGCTGACGGAATTCAACATGGGATATAGTAGTGCCAGTAGTGCCAGTAGTGCCAGTAGTGCCAGTAGTGCCAGCAGTGCCAGTAGTGCCAGCAGTGCCAGTAGTAGCCAGTTGATGAAGAATATAAGCATTGACAATAGCATGATCAATAATCCAATATAGAATTGACAACCACATGCGATTGGTAGTACGGGTGGTTCCACAAGCTCCAATTCCTTGCTTTTGAAGATAGTGGAATAGAGCAATACAGGTGAAGTAGTTGTCCATATAAATTGAGTGGCCAGCTACCTCTTTACTATTATTCAACTCCATATGCTGCTTGGAGCTCTGCTGCTGATCAGGGTGCTGCTGCTTAGGGAACTGGGAATACCTTTGAATACCATGATTCTGCAGGATGTGGGTGAGTAGAAAGGTGGATGGATTCTTGCAGCTGAAAGATGAAGAACAGCAATATGTTGAGAAGAATATATGAGATAGTGGATCTGTACCAGCAAATAGAATTGCATATATTTTAGTATGAGAAATTATTGGTTGGTACTTCTGAACTAACAGTCTAGTTAATACACTAATGGTATTGCGCTAATTGTGCCTCGCCCCCAGGCAAGGAACTATATAGTCTACATACGACTTTTGTGCGCCTATTTGAAACTCTTCTGGAGGAATTATATCGGCTCTTAGAACCAATGAATACCGGGCCATAAACAAAAAGTTCCTTGACCCTATTGCTCCCTGTTTTACAGCTATTTTGAAGGAGAACATAACTGGTGGTTGCTGCAATCCATCGCTCTACAATTGCCGCAGTTGCAGAGAAACATCAAGGCGCCGCTTCCCTCGACAGTAAGCGCGCAGTGCATAGCAGCAATATTTACTCTGGCCAACCGGATTCGCTTTCGTTCAAGGAAGTATGAAGAATAACCTTGATGAATTGGGGAAATGCCACTGCGCGAAATTATTCGAGATCGGCGGATCAACAAGTTTCAAGTCTAGAATTAGATGTCATTTGGCCGGAGACGTCAAGAGAACCGAGCAGAAAGTAACGTGGCTATCTTAGGATCGATTCTTGTATCCGTCGAACCTGTGGATTTTGACCACATAATTACAAAAACTTGGACAAGGACGATGATGTCCTCCCATTCACCACCAATTAGCATTCCGAGTTCTGGTCTCATGCTTGGGAACACTGCAATGTTGCCGAACCTACTGAGGAAGAAATTATCTAGTTTAAGCGCAAGAGTTAATATCGTGTTGACAAGCATATTGCGAAGGGATGCCCGTTGTTCTCTTCAACATCTGGACAGGCATAATCGGTTGAGGTCGTCAGCGAAATCCGTTCAAAAAAGAAGAGAAAAAGAAAAAACTCCCCTTCTTTGTCTTTACTTCATTTCCCTGGACCTTAACCCAACAGAATTAGAAATTAATAACTGATGCTCAAAATATCTAGAGTTTTGAATATCAAGGACTAAGGAGACATTGAGCACTCAATGTGCAATTGATTCCGTTCGCCTTTCCTTCCAAATGACAACAATACTTCGTCTTCCAATGGCACCGTGTAGGTATTCATCGATCGGCTCTAGCCTCTCTAGGTGACCATAACTTCCTAAATCATTTCTCTGAACATTGGAGCAAGTAATGGATTAGAAACGTCCTGTCATATTTGGATCTATTTTTGGTATTATTGAAAAGTGTTCTTCGAGTCTCTCATTGTAGAGCTTTCTTTTTAGCCTGTTATTACGAGCCGCTGTGTCAGCAACAAAAATGTGGCAGAAGGCGAGCGGATCTACTACACAGGGGCTGAATTAACATGGGCCTGAAAACACTATAATACATAATCGCGGTTGAGACAGGCGGTCGATTGTCGATCCGAACATCGTGCGAATTATTCAATTATGAAAGTGAACAAAACGCTTCTATAATAATCCCCGTACCCTCCTCTGCCAGGTCACATTATGGAGGTAGAAGATTTTGTAGTTGTATGTATTCAATTTAGACAAGTGTTCTTCACTTCATCACATGAAAGTCAGCACTGAACGTTAGAGCGTACGGCCGCTATTGCGTCATAAGTAAAATACGTGGATAGGTAGATCGCCATCACTCATCCCGTTAAGGTGCTTCACCAAAGTTATAATGGCCTGTTTCCGTAGCGTGTTTCGTCGCCCCCCTCTCACCCACAAACTGGCGTCCGCAGGTATGGCATTGGATCGTAAACGATGCGGTGTCCGTATAATAGTGCTTACCACGCAGGATCTTGCATAGCGCCACTGCCCGCTCCAGGATAATAGGGTCGGCAGCATCGAATATCTTCGTGTCAAATTCTGGCGGCGCATACGAATGGGTATACGGCTCGTCGGAGGGGGAGAGCGCGATAACGTCATAGTGGATGCCCGAGTACACCACGATACACCTTGTCGGCTTGTCCTCGTTAAAACGATCAACGCGTAGCGACTGTACATCTATCGAGCAGATCTCGACGTCGAAGTGTTTGCTTAGGATGCTTAACTCGATCCCGCCGCCCCAAGAATCCTCCGTCTGGATCCATCGGCAGTAGTCGTCTGGAGCTTTTTCCAGCACTGCAGCTGAATAAACATCTGGTTGCTCTTGTATTGTTTGCGCAACTATTGAGCGTAGCTCCGTCATTGCATCCATCGCGCCCATCACTGCGCTGCTGACCGCTCGGAATAGACAAGAATTGTCATCGGGCATTATGCGGAGAACGACTGTGCAACCGTGTTCGGGGGAGGGGATCTCGGGAGGGTCATTTTCAACAGCAGTGTTGGCCTTACGGCTCAATGACAGTGGCTTTAAGATATCTCTTGTTTGCTGAGTTGTCTGCGCAACTCTATTCGAGATTTTAGGGCTGGAAGTATCCGTTATCGCCGGCTGTTGCTGCTGTTGCTGGCGAGAGCTGGCGGAGGAGTCCATCGCGGAGAGCCCATCCTTCTTGCTAATAATGAGTTGCTCTCCATCAAGATTCGTCCCAATTTCTGCGATCAACAGGGCAGGGTCTAGCTGGTCGAGATCGAGTGGTTTAGGGGGGTAACCGTACTTGATGTCGTACGATGTCAATGCTGTTTTCTCGCTGATCTGGGCTTGGAGGTCGTGGATAGAGGCGCTCTCTTGGAGGGAAATTGTGGACTGTCCTCTTGGACCACGTATGCGAATTCTCATTGTTTGAATCAGACTGAATCAGGGGATAAAATCTCTTATGAGATATTTGTGGACAACGGCTGATATATGGCAATAAATTCCCTTTTGAATAGTAAGTAAACTTAGGACAAAAAGTAGCCAGAATTGACTATTTCCCCGAACATGGACGCTTGGCGTTCTGGGGTTGTCTTTGCTTAGTCGGAATTTAAGTGCAATCGGAAGAACATATATCCGAATATAACCTTCGCCTGGACGAAACCCATCACGCACCCGGTGCTCGCTGCTCGCTGCTCGCTGCCCCTCCAGACCACGGTATTTCTTACTCCTCGACATATATACCACCCGATAATAGTCATTCCTTTCCCTGGCACTACACAATTGATTGGTCGATTGGTCAGCCCTCTCACCATGGCAGCGGAAAGCGCCCAGTCGGAATTCCAGCGCGCCTCCACCTCTGGTTCCGCTGATGCTCCTGCGCCTGAGACTGAGACTGAAATCCAAGAGAGTACTGATCTCATCCAGCAGCTCTCAGAGCAAGCCGGTCAACTCGTTGAGCAGTCAGACCAACTATCACAACATTCGCGAACTTCCCACCCCTTTGAGACACCACAACCCCAAATGACAGCAATAGCAGATTCTAAAGAAAATGAAGACAATAACCCTGAACACCAGGTAACGGATGAACAATGGAGAGCTATGTTCGATGTTGTCCTGGCGATATACGATTATCGCGAGCCGGAGTATGATATGCGCCCATTCCTGGTCTACTATGAAAACTAACTTAGAAATTAAATAGCGGCTATGACCCCTCGCGTCTTTTCCATCGCAGCGTCAACAAACGCAATGTGCCGGACTACTACGATGTCATCAAAGAGCCCATGGCCCTCAGTGTGCTGAAGCAAAAGATTAAGAATAAATCATACTGCAATTTTGCAGAGTTTATAAGAGATTGCGCATTGGTAAGTATTTTCGTGTTGGTTACCCGCTTGCCACCAAAGTTTCAGGGACGGACCTGTGCCATAACCTTTCGATGCCCGTTCTATCTAGATTCCCCACAACGCGCAAACATATAATCGCCCTAAATCCCAAGCTTACGAAGATGCGCTAGTTATCAAGGTTTGTATTTCATTTTACCCTACTGTCCGTAATAAAATTGAGGTTATAGAATTTTAATTTTTTGTCTTTACAAAATGTAGGACGTCTTTATTTCTGAATTTCGAAAACTTGTCGAACAAGGGATAATTTCCTCGGAAACAGCCGAACTTCCGGACCTAGGGGAAATTCCCGACGCAGACCCTCTTCCAGTCGAAGAAGACGAGGAGGAAGAAGAGGAAGACGATGAGGAAGACGATGAAGCTGAAGACTCAGATGATGAGGCCGGTCGCCGCAGACAAAAACGACCGAACCGTGGGTCTTCCAAAAGAGAAGGCGCTAAAGACGACCAGAATAAAATCAACGACCCTGAGCTCCGAAAAAAACGCGGTCGTCCTCCCCGCGTTGATACCCCGATGGAAGCGCGGATCAAGGCTGTCTTGAAGGGAATACGCAAGTTCAAGGATTCCACGGGCCAGCTAAAAGTTCGCCATTTTGAGCGGCTACCCGACAAGGCTGCCTATCCTGATTATTTCTCGGAGATTAAGGATCCTATGGCCATTGACCTCATAAAAAGGAAATCTAAGAGGAAGAAGTACAACTCGGTTGACCATTTTATGAAAGATATGGACCTTATGTTCAACAATGCAAAGGCATATAACCAAGTTGATAGCCAAATATACAAGGATGCTGCCGCTTTGCAGACGGAAGCACGGAAATTAGCCGATCAAGAGAAGAAGAAACCAGACAGCGAGTATCTGATGGAGGATGGACGACTCCCGTTACCAAATGGCATCTTACATAAAGGTGAACTTTGGAAAGTTGGAGACTGGGTACATATTCAAAATCCGAACGATGTAACGAAGCCGATAGTTGCGCAGATCTACCGGACCTGGCAAGATGTGGAAGGACAGAAATGGGTTAATGCCTGCTGGTACTACCGGCCAGAACAGACCGTTCACCAATACGAGAAACACTTTTATCCCAACGAAGTCGTGAAAACCGGCCAATACCGAGATCATCGGATTGGGGAAGTCGTTGACCGATGCTTTGTCATGTTTTTCACCCGCTACAATCGTGGGAGGCCACGAGGGCTGGCGCCAGACAAACAGGTTTATGTGTGCGAAGCACGATACAATGAGGAGAAACACAAGCTCAACAAGATCAAAACCTGGGCTAGTTGTCTGCCTGACGAAGTCAGAGAGAAGGATTACGAGATGGATCTTTTTGATGCGCCTCGGAAAATCAAAAAGATACCGAGCCCAATCAAACATTTGCTTAAGGAGGATGCGAAGGAAACAGATGATGTACCTAAACCGACGTGGGGTGCAGAGAATGCGCCACCAATTGTGGGTGCAGTACACCGCCGACCAAGGGAGGAAAACGTAATCATCTTCTACTTCTATCTCTCATATCAGTTGTACGTAAACCAATACACTGCAACAATAACTAATATATTCCCATCATTCAGGAATCTCCACCCCCGGAACCTACCCCATCGCCGCCTCCACAACTCCCCGCGCCCCCGGTCGTTCCCCTCGCACCCCAACGTCAAATGTCTATAAATCGCGCTCCGACCCGCCAAAGTATCGACAGCCAAAGCGATTACCGCATGAGCGCTAGTCCCTTACATTCCCTACCAGCACGCTCAGCAGGCCAACCAACTCCACATGCTCCGCCGGCAGTTGCTCCCCAGCAGGCGCCCATCCCACTAACACGCATGCAGCAATCCTTCCCTCCTCTATCAGCCACCCCAACATCAGCCACCCCAGTCTACCCCCCCGGCTACCCAAACCACCGGCCAGGACCCCCATTCGCATCTCAGACGCCTCAATCCACTCCAATTTATCAACAACCGCCCCCGCCACAACCTTACTCCGCCCCACACAATTTCCCTTCTTACCAAGCCAGTCGCTATCATCCCCATCCCCCTCACATCCCTCAAGCCCACCTCCAGCAACAGTCGCAGCTACTACCACAGCCACAATCACAGCCACAACCAGTCCTTCCACCCAACATTTACAACCCAAACGCACCCCGACCAGTGGAAACGTTCATTCTAAGCGATAATACCAACGCGGCTATACCAGAAGAAATCCGCGGACAATTCCACTGTGACGAGAAAGGGCACGTGCTATTCTTCACGAGCCCGCCGCTAGATGTCGTACAGCCAGCTGAACAGACGGGGTTGGGACATTCATTGCGCTATCTGGCAGCAAAGGAGGAGAGGGCAAAGATTATTGAGAAAAGGAGGATCGAGAGGGAAGAAATGGATAAAGAGAGGGCAATGAAACGGCTGAAAACGACTATGACCACTATCACTACTACCGACGCATGTAGTAAGGATAATAACGCTACTCTCGCAAAAACCGACCGAAACATGCTCTGTGAGCTCGCGGTAATGGCGGCCGTTGCACAGATGAAGCAGGCAGATCAGGATTGGTATCTAATGCGTTATGGAGAGAATAATGCTGTGAAGGCTAAAGAGGCAGATAGGGAGAGGTTCATGAGGATCTTGGGCGAGAAAGAGAAGGCGGATGCAATGAGGGAGAGCTTGGACGTTAGGGAGCCGGTGGACGTGGTGCCTGTCCTTAGTCTTGCGGCGGGGGAAGGAGGGGCAGCTGTTTAAACGGGTGATTTATAATACCGGCTTTCTTCTAAAGGTGAAGGCTGGCATGTGTGTGATCTCAGGCGGTCTTGTGCCTCGCATCTATTCATCCTTTCTGTCTTTCTATTCTTTAAATTTTATTCAAGTTCTACCTACTTGGCTTGCACCTTGACTCCGGCTTTGGAAGGGCGTCCTATTTTCCCGCCTTCTTTAACCAACCTGGATGGATAAGGCAGTGAAAACAAAAACCGAGATTGAAAATTTCGGTGATGGTTAATTTGAGGCCACATGAAGAATAACGCAACCAAGTCTCCCTAAAATTTTATGTATATCCCTTTTCCGCATTTCGAGCGACACGTGGGTATATCTCCCCCGAAGGTTCAGACATCTCCCATGCATCTTCATAATATTTCTGAATCAAGTTTAAAAATTAAAATGATAATCTATCCATGTAAACAAGGCAGATTACGGTGCATGGGCGGCTGAAGACATTCGCTTGGCCTGTTTAGCGATTTGTTTCTTTCCAGCTGCCAGCTTTTATACTTAAACAGGTTTCAAAAAAGCCGAGTGTGGACCTGGGACAAAAGAACTTATTCACCACCAGCGACATGCTGGTAGTAGAGGGGACAAGCCAACCCAATCCATCCCTCCAACAGTTAGATTGTGAAATGGATAAAAAACATACAAAATATATCTTAAGATTGGTTCACCTGTTGACCATAAGGATTGATCCTTTTTGATGTAGTGGTAAAAAGTTTCTCTCATCAGCTTTGCACTGTGCACATACCACCATTACCAGTATGAGAAGCAACTTTGTGAAACAAACAAGACAAACATGAAATATATCTTTGCATAATGAGTGAAAAGGTGATAAAATACCTCCAAGCTGAAGCTGGAGGAACACTGAGCACTAAACAATAACAATCAAAATATACATTATGAGCTAAATATACATATATATGTATTTATAGAATGAGACAAAGCATGTTTGAATGACATGAATATATATTTAGAGATATGTTGTGAATGAATGCACATCATCATACAGTGATGATGAATAGATTGATTAAATAGAAAAACCCTTTAGCAGAATGAGAATAAGTTACTGATTCAATGATGAATGCAGTTTTCCACTCTTTGATTCATATTTCCACAAATTCTCATCCCATACTGAGTGGGAATGGAAAATCAAAGAAGAATTAATGATTTGAGATAGTTAAGTGAGAAACAGTATATGAGAAGCCAGCAATTGAAAGCAGGAGCAAAAGATGCACATTAACAAAACAAAGTATATAAAATAATAAACTTTCATGAATAAGTGAAGTTGACATAAATATTCAAAAGAGCAAATGGAATAATAACAATGATAGTAATAATGATAATAAAAGTATATATAATATTATATGTAAATGTCCGGGAAATTGTCAGGTGATAAAACATAGAAAACTTTTTTTTGTTCAACTTTGTCAAAAGGATTTTCTCAAAAATTTTTATGCGCGTCCCCCACCATAGAGCGACTCCATCTCCTTTAGAAGTGTCTTCCCTTTCGTACCACTACTCTCTAGCTGACTCTGTATTGTTGCAGTAGCCACGGCGTGCTCCTGTTGCTGTCGCTGAGACTGACCCCTTCTTTCATTAGTCGCCGTCGAGGCACTATCTGTGGTCTTGCTCGTCGAGGGCCTGTTATTATTAATACTAGCAACATTATTCCCGCTTGTGACGCTGGTATTGGTATTGGTATTGGTGTTGTGGTTATCGTTATTCGTATTCGTATTCCAGATGACGCTATTCCGTTTGTTATTTTCCTCTTCTTCCATGGAAAAAACAAGATCACTCTGTTCCTCATCGATCCTGCTGGTGCTGATGGGAGAGGAAATGGTGCGGTCCAGTCGTCCAGAACCAGAGCCAAGGCCGCTGCCACCCACGCCAACTGAAGAGGCGTGTCGGGCTGAGCTGGGATGTAGCGAGGTGCTGCTGAGCTGTTGCGAGATCATAGACATGGAAGATTGGCGGGAAGGGCTGGCAATGAAAGGGGAGACATCTCCGGAGCTAGGGCGGCTGCCGATCGGGCGTAGATTGGGGCTGGGGCTGGCGGCTTGGAAATTCAAGGACGATTCGCGAAGGGGAGAGCCAACATGACCTAGGCCGTGGCCTTCCTCCTCTTTCCTCTGTCGCTGTTTCGCAAATATTGCACCAAATCGTGATGGGCTGGAGGCAAGTGGTGACCCGACTTTGCTGGACCCCGTTCCGGGTATACCTAGGCCACTGAAATCCCTAGTGCTGCTGTTGTTATCTTGCTCCGTCCGTGACAGCCGTCTCATCCTTTCTTGTGGGGTAAGCACATCGTCGTGCAAGTTCGTCGGCAAGTAATCCTCCTCTAGAGTGAAGCTGTCATCCCAATCACTCAAAGCGGTTGGACGCGGCAGGCTTGCTGAAAGGATCTTGGTTCTTGTCACACGCTGCGAATGCATCAATCGGGGGGCCGATCCCTCATCGTGAAAGACGGGGGGCGAGGAGCCGAGATTCGATGGCTTCCGCGAATCAAATCCAAATGCAATATCATGAAGATTACGGACCACGTCCGGAGGGGGTCCGGCCCGTTGGGGAGGGGGTGAGGACAGATCAAGGCCAAATTTGGAGGGAAGGGAGGCAGCTACGGGGCCATGTCGTGCCATGTATGATATTCCCTGGCTATCGAAAGAGGCTGGCAGAGGCGCATCGAGAGCTGTGCGACCGATTGGTGACATTGGGAGCCTCGGTTCCTCGATGGGGGAGCCGTACTTGGAGCCTGTATCGGACACAAGCCCCGCATCTATCGTCGGGATACCAACATCGTAAGGGCTGGGCGCTTGCTGGGTTTGGTCATATATATCTTCCTGGCCTGGATACGGATACGAGAATCGCGCGGGATGACCATTTATCCGTTGTTGGGAGAGTAGGGAGTTTGCGAGGGCGGAGTCTTGGGTGTGGTACGGTGGGGGATTTACACGACCACCTAGATTTAGATGGCTGCCGCTCATTCCCATGGGAAGATTTGGTCTGTTAACGCGCCGCCCATCCGGGAGGATATGCGCTAGTGCGCACTTTGCTCCGAACTTGCAGTTTCCCTACATAACACTAGTCAGATTTTTTGCACCGTAAGGAAGAGAGGGGCATAGGCAGATACCTTTGTAAAATACTTGCAAGGAGCGGAATCGATGGTGGAGTCGGTTGAGTGGAGGAAAGGACAGGCGGGGCCAGCTTGACAGGCTCCTTGCCGGAAGAATTTGCAGGGAACATGTTTGGTATCTGAAAATGGGATTGGATCAGCCACATCATAGATACACAATAGAATATGGAGGAAGGAATCATCAGGGAGAACAGACTCTTGCTGGTAGGATTCGGAGGGCTGCGGGCCATGTCGAAAGGCGGAAGCCCTGACATGTTGCGGACATGACCATTCTGCATATGCGCGGTAGAGCCCGAGGGAGCCGGTAGTGGGGCGTGATTTCGTAGATCGTTTGTCATTCGAGATGGAAGAAAACGAGCAGCGCTGCTGTTTGCGTGATGAGAGAGTGTGTAGGTAGCTGGTCTGTTGGTGCTTGGGTAGCTGTGGTTCTGGTTGTTGTTGTTAACGTGTTGCTACAGTTGTTGAGGCTGCTGCTGTAGGACACTCTAGAATGTGAGGGAAGATAGGATAAGCTGTAGAAGGGAGGTTGGAGAAGGCTGCCGTGGTATCTGTGAGCTGGGCGTGGATATCTGGATGGTAGACGGAAGGCGAACAGAAGAGGGAAAGACGCGAAGGTTTGGTGGAGGCAGAGATTTATTTAGATCCCAAGCCTAAGGATTTGGGTCGGCGATTGGCGATGGTGGGGCATCCCAGGGCAGGGAGACTCACCAACACTATTTTATTTTATTCCAGGGTTCTCTCTGCCTTGCGAATCCCAGCTCCGAGACATCTATTCCATGGATCATTGCAGGAGGGGATTAATTATTAGTCTCCAGAACAGAAGAGAGCAGAAGCATACTAAACTGATGCTGGTTGTTGATATTGATGTATAGCTGGGGTACAACAACTTGAAGTTGACCTTCTACACGCTATAAGTTAGCAGAGAGCCGCCCAGCAATCCCCTCACCACGAGCTCCTGTCCATCTGATCAGCTTTTCACCGACTTGTTCTCACGCATGATCCCGCAGGCTGTCAGTCAGCTGCCAGGCACTAGTTGGGAATTGTGTATTGTGGCAGTGAGATTAAATATACGAAACAGAAGCTGGATCAACTGTTTGCTAGCTCCAAACATGAGTTGAAAAGTATAAAAACGTCCAGGAAAGAAGATACCTGCGTAGATATCTATAGCATGCAACTCCTGCAATTCTCTCCTCTTTACAACATGCCATCTAACCCCAAAGTCTCCCACAACTCCTCGATCCCCTGAAACCCTTCTGGCAGCGCCTCAGAACATTTCTCCCACATATCTTTACAGATCCTCTTCCTCACCACAACTCTGCCCTTCCACACCCTCCACTCCCCATTGACTGTTTCTTGCTCCACCGCTGAAACAACCCTCGTTGTAACCCTCCCATTCCTCAACGGCGAAAGGCGGCTTAATACCTCTTCCCTTTCCATTTCCAGCCTGGATACCATCTCTCGTAGTTTTCCCGTGGGTACATGGGCGCTGAGGGTTGCCAGTTCCGCACGGAGTGATTTCTCATATTGCTTTGTCGAGGCAATTTGAGCGCGGAGGTCGGTTAGCTCACAGTCGAGGGCGGCAAGTTGTGCTGAGGTGGAGTCTGAGGGGACGTCTTGGAGGGCGTGGTAGACGATTTGTTTGCCTGTGGGATGTTGCCTGTTAGGAATGATCGAAGGGTCTACTTGATCGCATGTCATATTATATACCATATAAAGAGTACATCACATACCGGCAATACGTCCCTGGACCTCCTTCCGCTCGTGCATCTCCTTCAACGCTTTGACGGTATATGCTATTTGTCCAATATATACACATATATATGTGTATTTCTCAGGTTAGAAACAATATCCCCATCTTAAAAATTCAAAATATAATTAATACTCTGACGGAAGGGATCGTACCTTTGCTTACTTTGTTGTGCAAATTGGCAGTAATATCGATCGCCTTCGGGTTGGTGTATTGAGGGTTTGTTAAAAGACAAGTAATAGCACCGGCGAGGCAAGAAACATAACCCACTCACTGAATATGGTCGACTATCAATCCAATGTAAGTTTGCCTCAGTAATTTTTAACTATCCAAGAACAGCGAGTCAAGTAGACAACGAGGAGCGTCTGGTAGTTTACACCTACTTCTGCTGACCTATGCAATAACAATTCCGGATACCAGGCAATATTTAGATTGTAAGTCAATCTCGAACCGACAATCGTGCACGTGAATGTAGTTATAAAAATAATGGAATGGCGAGGGCGGGCAAGCTAATGCGAATTATGCCTTGTTTGCTTGCTCCATGTTCTTCAACGAAAAAGAAACTCACGAAGGTACTCTAGGATCATAGTTGCTCCTATTGAACGCCGTTAACTAACCTGGGTGTATATGCATGGAGGCAGGAAACAAAACGGGAGGTTACGCGTTAAAGAAAGAAGGGCATTTGCAAAAGATTGGTAACTAGACATGGGAAGACTGTTGTATAGGAAGAGTGAAGACAGATGAAAACTAGAAACTTCCTCACCATCTTCCCCTTTATCCTTACTATTCTTATCATTTTTCTCTTTGCGTGGTGCCATGTCCTCGAGATGAGATGAGATGATATTGCTGTGTCTGCATGTAGACATGCCACTTGTCTACCTGTCAGCCTCCTGCAAGATAGAATGTCAGTATAATGGCATATAGTGTGCAGGACACACTGATGTTAAACAGTATCCATACCCCATCCTCATTAACAGGAGAGAGAGAGAGAGAGAGAATGAAAGATGGAGCAGGGATAAGGGAAACCTGGGAGAGCTCAGTCGCGCAGTGACATGCAACACGTCAACCTGTTTCAACTCCGATCCACAGGGGCTATAGAGTGGAAAAGGAAGACGGGCTTGCTTCAAAGACTCTGCATACGTTACATACAGTACCAACGTTAGGCTTGGAAACAGAAGGCAGCCGGAGGAAGGGAGAAGACAGACGAGGCGCAAGAGGCAGCACAGATAGATGAAGGTTACTGTATGGATATGGGGTCAACCGATGGAAAGGGGTGGATCACGTGCCAAGCGATATGTTCCTAGAACACATGTTTTATTTGCTCGGCCTTTTATTATTTACCTAATGTTTTGTATAAAGAGGAAAAATAGGAAGAAGTAAAAGTCCCATCAACTTTTATAGGAATAAACGTATATCGATAGACGGTTCTCAAATCAGATCTTGGGAAATGCACGCATAAACAAAAAGGTACAGGTTGTCAGCAGGATAAACAACGGAATTTGCAAGAGAAAACGGAAATCTATTCAACGAATCGAACAACCAAAAACATTTATCCAGCAGCCCATTGTGAGCAAGAGTAATGTAGAACCTCTCTCTTTCTCTCTTTTGTAGAGTGCATTGGAATAAACGGGCTCTTACATGGAAAATCATGCCCATGCTCATCTCTGAATAGTCATGGAGCGCAACAAGATAGAGATATATATAGTAAGAGAGATAAAATATTGAAATGGATTGGTGATTATTCATTGCGAACCAAGGCCGGGGTGGTTTTAGAAAATAATTGCTTTCAAAAATAACATGGAACAGAAACCATTATTTCTTCGTTTTTTTGAAGACGAGTGGTTCGAGGAGTAAGGGGTGCACGCTTCTAATGTGAACTGAAGGAGTGATGCCTAAGCAGGGCGGGCAGCAGAACAATATTTGAGATTAGAACAGATGGAAGAGGTATGATCGCTTTGACGGGATCGAGGTCGAGAGCGCGGAGCTTTGCAGGCGGGCTCGCATGAGAGGCATCGGAGAGGTAGTTGCTTTCCTTGTGTAAGGAAAAGAAGAGAGAAAACTGATCGCGCTTGTAGAAGGAAAGCCACTTGAAGGAATAAAAGTCGTGTGGGTGAAAGTGGAAGCGGACAATCAGGCGTTAGGAAGGTAAATAGTTTTTAGATCGAAAGAAGCGAGAAAGAAACTCCATATCGCTGCACCAGCTGAAAATGGGTTGAAACTGACAGGGGAAACAACAAATGAATGAAATGAAAGTAAATGAGGTATCAAGTCTAAATTATGCGGATTGGAAGGCAAGCATCACATCACGATCTGCAAAAAGTATTTGTCAGTTATGTGTTGTCTGGTACAACAGCAAAACTAATTTTGATAACCGAGTTACTTACACAATCACTATCACCCTTGCCTTGTGGCACTCCCATCTCCTCGAATGTTTTAGGTCCTTTGCCAGGTAGTCCACCTGCCGGCTTTTGTGACGCATGGGAAGCCGAATGAGAGGGGTTCTGACCAGGTCGCACCATTGACGAGGCAGGGGAGGAAGTCTTTAGAGGCTTCGATTCACCACGAGGGGGGTAGTGGACGCCTGAAGGTGGATGTGAGGAGGAGGGCAAACGATTTCCTCGAGGGTCTGGGTGCGAAATACCACCATGGCCCGGGCCCATGGATTGCATGGACCCATTGTGATTTGAGTGGTCAGGGCGCTGAAGGCGCCTTCTTCGGTCAGCACCGGAAGGGTCTGGAGGTGCGGAGTAGCCGATGTCCAATTTCGGCGTTCCGGGTTCTGGTCGGAGACCTTGGGCTTGTGGATGTACTGGTCCGCCAGTGGGCGGGATATGGGCTTGCATGGGTCCGCCCGGATTGACAGAATGAGGGCGGATGTTCGGATTGATTCCAAAGGCAGAGGATGATCGCATGTTTGGACTGTACTGACCTGGGGGGTTGACATAACCGGTGTTAGGCGCTTCTGGATATGGTGCTGCCGACATTGGTCGATGGTTCCTAGGTTCCCTACTGGAAATGGTCATGCGCGATGGGTCTGGCATTTCCAAGGTATCTTGTTGAATAGGTTGCACGCTCTGGGGTTCCGCAAAGCGTTGAGCCCGTCCATGGGAAGCATACTGCGATTTTATGCGCGCTATGGCAACGCGCTCGTGATCCTTTCTCGATAGGGTTTTGGAACGAGATATACTCTCGATCCGGGAGCTAGCATCCTTGTTACCCCTAGCTGCGGCCTTTGCGTACCAGACCCTCGCTTCCTTGATATTTACCGGAACGTATATTCCAATCTCATGGAAGTAGCCGAGGGCGAATTCTGCTGTTGCCAGTCCACTCTGAGCAGCCCGTTTCGCATAGGTATACGCCATCTCGTCATTTTTCTCAAAAAGCCCCTCATGTCCGCATAGAAACCATTTACTGATTGCCATTTCAGCCTCAGGTTCACCTTGCCGTGCGGCAAGAGCATTATAATGAAGAGATAAAGCAGGGTTAAAATCACAGCCTAGTTGACAGAGTTCGTAAGCAGCTCCCATTTTCACTTGAGCTTTTGCAAACCCATGGTAGGCCGCTTTCTCGATGTTAATCCTGGCAGCATTTAAATCATACGGAAGATATTCGTCTGGAACAACAACCTGGGGCAGCTCACGAGCCAGTAGCATTCCGTATACCTAAAGAACGAAGTAACATCAGCAAGGGACCTTTATAGCCCAAAACGGAAACATGAGACTTACGTAGGCTCCCTGAGGAGCATTTTCGTCGCAGGTTTGTGCGGCATATCGAATATGATCTAAACCTGCAGCATAGTCCTGGCGTTGTCCATGTTGCCCTAGGAGGATCATCATGCCAAGTCTCTATGAAAAGTTGTGAGTTACCGTAGGTTCTAGATTGTAAAGTATTTTACTTCATCAAAGGGGTCACCCTTACATAGTTAGAAGCAGAATCCCCTAGACTGACACCACGCTCATAGTGTTTGATCGCTTTAAGAGGTTCGCCTGAATTTTCAAATTGCATGCCCATACGGTATTCCGCCCTTGCATACCCTTTCTCACTAGCTTGAGAGTAACATAGAAAAGCCTCCTTTTTATCAACGCGGAAACCGAATTTTCCAAATTCTAGCCACATTGCTTTGATAAACAACGCTCTAGGGTGACTCTGCTCAGCCAGGAAAGAAACGACGTTGATGGCGTCAGTTTTCAGTTGGCGCTCAATCTGTGGGGTTTGCGGTCTAGGGGGTTGGAAGGCGGCCATGCGGATCTCGTTTTGCATGGCAACTTCGACATATGAAAGGGCATCTTGAGCCCAGGCAAGTTGCATTTCTGGGTCACTTGAATTCAGGACTGCAATGCGGCCACTCTCTAAATTTGCTTCTCGTTGATCATCGGTTGGAGGGACATTGGGCGGGGGGTTCCGCAGAACGGGAAAGGGAGAGAAATTAGGCGGCTCGCTCAAGGACTGCAGAGGTTGTCCGTACGCTTCCTGGCCGTAAGCGTCTGAGTATGACCGGTCATCCTGCGGATAACCTTGGTTCGGGACCGACGATGTTCGATTTGGGTATTGTTGTTGTGGTTGTGGTTGTTGGTAATCGTACTGGGCATGTTGGCTGGCCATACGGCCTGGGGTGTAGGCTTCCCGTTCGAGGTGGGCGAGGTTATCTTGCATATTTTCCGGGACTTCTGGCATCACCCTAATAACAGCCGAGTTAGTCAATACAGTACAATGAAGAAAAGTGGAAAGTATGTGGACAGGGAGAGCATAAAGAGAGGGATTCCTTTTAAGTTTTGGAAAGCCCTTGATTGGGACGTGTTTTATTTTTTTCGAGTTATTTCACACTCTTTTTCTTTTCCTTTTTCATTCTATGAGGGAAATCATATTACCTCTGAGGTGCTGGAGAAATCACTTCTGGCATTTGGAAAGCATCAACATTGCCTGGATAGAAAGTGGCGCTCATATGAGGATTGGGAGACTGATGGTGAGCAGGCATGGCGTCAAAAAGAGGGACGGAGGATGGCGGGTTTTAATAATAGCAATAATATTCTGGCTGTCACACTTCCTAAGCTATGCTAACCCCTCTTGGGCTGGGGGGTTCAACATGGGCCTGATGGTGAGCGTGCACCTTTGTTCGCGTGGAAACGGCTAATTCAATTTGCGAAGCAACCTTGCTGAGACGAGTAAAGACTGTTGTATTATTCGTATTATTCGCAAGAGTGGTCCTCTCATGCAGTGGTGGACATGGTATGTATTCAAACCAGCTATGATCCTGGTCTCATCAGGTCGATGGAGGTAACAGAGGAGACTTGTCAGAGGGAAAGGCGGTGCGGAGGAGGACGAGAAAATGATAGGTAATGGACAGGGTGAGAAATTGAAGATGTTCTGAGAACAGTGAGAGCTGAGCCTCAACCCCGCTATATCGAGCTACTTCTCAGGTCTATGATCTTACTTGGAAAGGGATTGACACCGCCAACGGAGAACAAAACAAGGACAAGAACACAAAAACAGGAAGAGCGAAACAGACACACAATGTAGTTGGAGGTCATCTACAAGAGCCCGAGCAAATGGGGAGCGCGTCATCCGGGCACTGGATTCGAGCTTTGGGGTGGTTCGCGCTCCACCCGCTGCTCAGTGAGAGGCGCTGAAAACAGTTGTTCCGTGCGGCTGTTGTTGACGATTGGGAAGCTTATTGTGGCGTTTGTATGATAACTCCTAGGAGTAACTAACTCACTGCTATTTGTAACTTATTATACTATTGCTCTGTTGACCTGTGCTGTTGGCTTGGGAATGTTCATGGGCTTGTCCCGGATAACTTTCCAGAGCTTTTGCTCAGCTTCTCGTATTACTTTGGATGACCCGGCTGCTTTTGGGTTATTCATCGAATTGCTATCCAGTCGAGATGTAACTAACAAATCTGGATTCAACAGCCACGCATCAGCCACCACCACTATTTTTGTTTCTCAGCTGGTTTCATGGTTTATGGAATGGTTTTTATTTTTACTCTTCGCTCCGCGTTCTTTTTCGGAATTGCAGGCTTCCGTAAAGCCCCACTGCAATAATATCCACCCTTTCGAGAATAAACAAATTGCTGACAAAAGTGATGGTTGTGGCCTGGCGGAACACGCCGAGAAGGACATACAATCAGAATCATAGGAGGGGGATTCCCCTGATCCAGATTAACCACGAAACCCGAAGTGCTGGTGAAAATCAGACAATAATGGAAGGGCGCTTTGAAGGACTGCGACGTCCAGGCGATATGATCTTGGGCTTCTCGATTCTGACCTAGTAGTTGATGTCTGACCAGAATAAGACAAAAAATAATGTTCGTTTCGCTTTGAAATTCCGTCTTGGAGGGATTCAGTTTTCCATCACTTCCAGGTTCTGCCCAAAGTATCCTCTACCACTCTGCCCGGCAGAAAAAAGGCATGTAGGTCCGTAGGAGTTCCACAACAACATGCGCATTCTAGTATATGGCCAAACCAGAAGCTGAGGAAGAAACAGAAGGAGGAGCGGCGAATGGTACGGAGGGTCGAGGAATACCGAGGAGCTTCGACTGTAACCATTCTCGCGACAATACGATGCGATTAACACCTCCCTGGCCCGCGCGCAACGTGACGGGATGTGCACAATACACTGAGTATAAACATTATATAGGGTTGGAGAAATTTGGTTTCTCCTGCTTGAATTCACCTCAAGATACAAATCGCACACGTCATTGCCCGTACGACAAGGAGGTTTTAAAGTGTAGCCTATACGAGTGTTCCTTGTCATCTAATCCAAGTAAATAATATTGGACCATAAATCTTGCTCTAAACATACTCTTATACCTAGCCGTCGTCCTCCGAGTCATGCAGGTATAGATATCATTGATGTACAGATTTGGCACAGATTTTGCCAAATCGCGAGCAAGAGATGAGGATAGCAATGATTGCCGTTGAAGCTGCAAAGAGATGTTCAGCGCCAGATGTTCAGCGCCTGACAATCTTGGGAAATACGCTAGCGAAGTTAAGTCTTGGCGTAGTTAGTAAAAGCATGCTGTCCAAACTCAAACTTTGAACAGCTGTCTGTCGGTATACGCAGTATAATGCACGATGAAGATTATAGCGGATACCACCCGGCTAGAAGCCTAATAGTTAGAAATCGCTCCCTCAGCGGAATCTCGACTGTTGTTGAACCAACTCTCCGCCAACATGAACTCCGTCGAGAAAAACTTCCACCACCCGTTTATCCCTTACGACATCCAACGCCAGTTCATGCAAGCATTGTACGACTGTATTGAAGGAGGCAAAGTTGGTATATTTGAGTCGCCCACAGGTACCTTGCTTGACCCTTACAAATAGACAGGTTGAAGAAGTTGTCTGACAAATCTCAGGTACCGTATGTTCATCTCATCCGCCGACTGGCAACATCTTATGAGCATATAGGAAGTCCTAGTTCGCTAGAGCTTCTTTTTAGTATTTGGAAATGCCGGAGATGTGTTCTTTCAATCCTCAGTCTTTGCCTCTTATCGATTTTTCACTAAAGAAGGGCTGTTGGAACGAGATTGCAAGAACGGCATATCCAGACCTTGCTCCAAAAACGCGTATTTCATGCATCTAACGTGTTTGCATTGCTGTAGGGCAAATCGCTCAGTTTAATATGTGGCTCTTTAACGTGGCTCCGTGGTCATAAACGCGCAGCGTTCCTCAATACAATTGACCAGTCACTCTGTCAGCTATATCCCAACTTCATAGATATGGAGGATCTGAGGCTGATGTACAGAGATATTAGCTGATAGTGAACCAGAATGGATGTTAGAATACTCACGGCGAGAGAAAACAAGATTTATCCGGGAGAAGAGAGAGCAATTGGAAGACCGTTTGGCGAAAATCCGCGCAGATGAAGAACGGCAGCGAAAGCAGTTTGTGGACGGCAACCATACCTCTAAGAGAAGGGTAGGTTATAATAGGTTATAATCCAACAGATTACAGAAATGGGCGATCCTAATTACTCCTTATAAATAGAAATTGACTACGGGAAACGATGTTTCCGAACAGGGGTATGAGAACCAATTCGAACTAGAAGACTATTATAGCGACAACGAAGAACGAACGGCTGTGGATGCGATTTCGAACACTGAAGGCGTACTCTCTGCTGATACCCTTGCTTTACTCGAGAAGCTAAATGGCGGGCCCGTTGATGATCGTGCCGATTCCGAGCCGGAGGATGAGATTCGAGTTTTCTACTGCTCGAGAACACACTCTCAACTGACTCAATTTGCCCACGAGTTGCGGCGAGTAAAGCTACCTCCAAGTATTCCTCCCGAGGTAGGTGGTCAGGGTAAAGCTACAGATATGTCCTATACCGATGATGCCTTGGAAGAGAGCACGAAACATCTCTCTCTCGGGTCGAGAAAGACACTCTGTATCAATTCGAAGGTACGGGCTCTTGGCAACTCAACGGCGGTAAACGAACGCTGTTTGGATATCCAGCGCCCTGAAACACCCGTGGAGTATAGGTGCCCATTTCTACCCACGAAGGAGAATGAAACCCTTGTCAACGATTTTCGCGACCATACACTGGCAAAAGTGCGAGACATCGAGGATATCGGTAAAATAGGATCTAAAATTGGGATATGCCCGTACTACGCTTCTCGATCAATAATTAAATTTAGCGAAGTAGGTTTGTTGCATTTTAATCAACGTATCACTTCTCTGCTAAATTAACGATACTACATTAGATCGTCACTTTACCATACCCCCTTCTCCTCCAGAGATCAGCAAGGGACGCCTTAAACATCTCTCTCAAAAACCACGTCGTAATTATTGATGAAGCCCATAATCTCATCGACGCCATTTCCGCTATACATTCTGTGTCTGTGTCGCTATCTCAACTTCAATTGGCCATCTACCAGCTCACCACTTACGCCAGGAAGTATAAGACTCGCTTAAAGGGGAGCAATAGGGTCTACGTCACCCAAGTGATTCGGCTTGTGAGTTCGATTTCTGATTATTTGAAAATCGTTCTGGAAAGAACGCAGCCTGCAGAGGGCGTCCTCCTCCCGTCTGACATAATGACGGGGAAAGGGGTTGATCAAATAAACCCACACAAGTTATCACGGTATCTGCATAAAAGCAAACTGGCGAGGAAAGTCGACGGCTTCATTGAGCAGTCATCTATGGAGTCACAAGCTGCGGACAAAAACGCTACTCGACTTTCAGTTCCTGTTATCTTTCAAGTACAAAGCTTCGTTCTCTCATTGATGAACCCATCCTCAGAGGGGAAACTCTTTTACGAGATTAGCCGGAACGATGTCTTCTTGAAATACATGTTATTGGATCCTACCAATCACTTTCGGGAAATCGTAGAGGACTCAAGGAGTGTGATTCTTGCGGGAGGTACAATGTCACCTGTATGTTAAATTCCGTTCCCTTGGACGAAAAGGAAGTGACAAGTTGATGTCTCGTTTATTTGGTAGATGGAAGATTATGCAGAACATTTGTTTCCCTATTTGGATACAGGTCGACTCGAAACTTTTAGCTATGGCCACGTGATACCTCCTGATAATCTGGCAGCAATCCCAGTAGTCAGGGGAACTTGCAATACCGAGTTTGATTTTACTTACGGGAAACGAAATGATGAGAGCATGGTATGTTGAGCATACGCTATCTCGCATCTTGGACTTTCATGATCCACCAGGAAAAAGTCGCTAATTATTGGACGGCTACAGATAATTGATCTTGGCAGGACCATCGCAGCATTGTGCTGTGTTATACCAGATGGTGTCGTGGTTTTTTTCCCAAGTTACGACTACTTAAAACAAGTTTTGATGATCTGGAAAAAGCATATCCCAACTACAGGATCTAGCATCATCGATTCGATCCAAAGATCCAAAGCTGTCTTCCACGAGTCCCAAGACAAAGCTACAGATGTTGACGAATTACTTCAAGGTTATTCTAGCGCCATTAACACTGGATCCCGGGGTGGCGCGTTGCTCTTGTCAGTTATGGGTGGGAAGTTGTCTGAAGGAATCAATTTCTCTGATAAGCTGGGCAGAGGGGTGGTAGTCGTTGGGCTCCCGTTTCCAAACATCCGTAGTGCGGTATGGCAAGCTAAAATACAACACGTGGAGTCCAAAGCCTATGAATCGTACTTATCCCTGTCATCATCGTTAGACCAGGACCATAAGGGCAAAGAGATTTCGGAGGAAAATCGCAAGTTGAAGGCGAAATCTGCTGGGAGGGAGTTCTACGAGAATGCATGCATGAGGACTGTGAACCAATGTATTGGTCGGGCAATCAGACACCAGGGTGATTACGCTGCGATCCTTATGATGGATAGACGGTATAGCAGTCTACGCATACAGAACAAGCTACCAAGTTGGATTCGACAAAGCCTGGTGGCGGGGGCGTCAGAGCAGCCAGCTGAGAGAGCAATTGGGGATATTTCTGCCTTCTTTCGAAAAAAAAAGGGCATATAATATAAATGCGGCTGGGAATGAGCAGAAAGTGCAAAAGCCATGAAGCAGCGAGGTTTTAATCACAGCTCTTATCTTATCAGATGGATTTTATGTCACATGATTGAATCTTAAATTCCTTCTTGGAGAAGGTAGGGCTTGGGCCCTACAACTTCCCTAACAAGAAAATCCTGACACACACATTAAGCGAGACATCAAGAACCTCTTGGGCCTTGAGCTTGCAACCACGTCAATCTCATCTCAACGCTCAACACCCCGACAGCCTTGTCGAATCCAATATCGTCGACAAGATGCCTACCCGACTTTCAAAGACGAGAAAGAGGTGAGTTATTTTAAGTGCTTGTCCACAAGAGATTGATCAAAAACACTGCACCGCCCTCCAACCGCAATGTTTCCAATGAACATCGAAATCAGCAATCAAACGCTAGAGCGCTTTTAATTATCGATTGCTAATACCATAACCTTTTTTTTTTTCGATTATTTTAATTTAGCCGTGGCCATGTTTCCGCTGGCTACGGTCGAATTGGAAAACACCGCAAGCATCCCGGTGGCCGCGGTATGGCTGGTGGCCAGCACCACCACCGGACTAATTTAGACAAGTACCATCCAGGTTACTTTGGAAAGGTCGGCATGAGATATTTCCACAAGACGCAGAACAAGTTCTGGAAACCCATCATAAACCTTGATAAGGTACGTTCTTTCGATTCCTTGTTCATTCGGGTGGATTGAAGTGGGAAACTACTGGGAGGAGAGAGGAAGTCAGGAGGAATGGAGCTTTTGGGTGGAAAAACAAATGGAACGAATCAACGGAAAAAAGATATCCGCGATATAGGCGATGCACAAGGAATTGGTGTCCATTTGGAATGTAAACGTAGAGGCTGATTGAATTTTCGTGGGTGTATAGCTATGGTCACTCATCCCCGTCGCAACCCGTGATGCCTATGTGAAAAATCAGAAACCCAATACCGCCCCCGTTCTCGACTTGCTCCCTCTCGGCTACTCCAAGGTCCTTGGCAAAGGCAGACTCCCAGAGATTCCAGTTGTTGTTCGGGCTCGATACTTCAGCAAAGAGGCTGAGCGGAAGATCAAAGAGGCTGGTGGTGTTGCTGAGCTCGTTGCATAAATACGATGTGTGCATGGTGTGTTGCATGCGAATTGTTTGATTTGGACGCAAATTATAATGAATGGGTGTTAAGGGTGGTCTTTTTAAACGCATGTAATTTTCTATTCTTTTTTTGTGTCAAGGCCTGTTAGAGCAGTGTCAGGCTTGATACTTTTCACGAAAGAGAAAAGAATCAAAAGACTTTGTGTCACGGATCACTTCTTCGGAAAGCACCAAGGTTGCCGTTATTCCGCCATATGCCAAAGTGCGAAAGATATTGGGCTGGAGCATAAGGGTTCTATCATGGTGCATTCGAAAACTTAAAGCTTTAATTCCTTTCCTATTAAAAAAGGGGCAAAAGGAAAAAAAACTACGATATAAGATAGAATACCTCAAGTGGAATGAAAAACAACTGATTCCATTCTTTTCAAAGCTACTTTTTTGGTTGTGTCTGACAAGGAACTGTGTCTATATGCACGCGCCGCTGACATGACATCAATGGATTGTAGATGGAGAAATCCGATTGAATTTATTTCAAATGTCCCATTCTCAAAGGTTCATTACCTACAGGAACGTGGATATCGTCTCCTAGGGTACTACAAAAGAATCATCGCGGACACCTGTGTGTATGCGTGTCAGCGATGTTAATCTAGGAAACAGAGAACAAAACACTAGACGTGGCTCTTCTATATCTTCGACGTGAGCACCTTGGGCTGCGCGCTCTCAGCGCACGTTGCAAGGGTTTCCCCAATAAACCGAATTGCCTGCTCCATCATCGCGGGGGTAACCTCGTGTCCCGCGTCTTCAAATATGAGATCCTCTAACGTCACAGCTCCATTGGCAAACCACCCGCCTGGCGAAATCGCCTTTTTCAGCCACATCAGAAACGGCTCTCCTCGCGCGTATGGGACCAACTTATCCTTACCACCAGAGATCAGCATGATTCTTTTCCCCTGTAGACACCGTGTTATGAGTGGGCCGATGACTTTCTTTTCATGATCGGTGGGTTCGGGAAGGATGCCATGGAGCATGGGTTCTGAGACGATAGGGTCGCCCAGCTGGCTCAGGAAGAATCTAGCAGGATCGTATTTCCTGATGGCATCCATGAGCGACTGTGGGAAGGATTCGGAGCCGAGGAATTGGGAGCCTGGCGGTGTGGAATCTTTCCAAGAGGATAGTTTGGAGAGTTTGGCACGTTCAGTCATTAGGCTTGTGTAGTCTGGGGTGCCAATGATGATGACGGCATTAGTGACTCGGGGTTCGTGTAGGAGGCAGCTCCATACTGAGTGGCCACCGAGAGAGACACCGAGGGCAAGGTTAGTTGTGATTTTGCGTGAGGCATCCGGGAAGGCATAGGCGTCCATGAAGTCTATTAAGAGGGAGACATCACGAGCCGTGCCCTCTACGGATTTGTATTAGTACTGGTGAGAGCGATAGATATGGCAGCATGGTGTGGTTGTATTTTATTATTTCCGATCTCCAGCAAAAAATGGAGGGAAAATAAGTAGTACACCTACGATACGTAGCAAACATATCCTGTGCATGTTTAGGATTTCCCTCCTTCCAAGCGCAGTTTGACAGCTTGTCAACGAGTCTCGATCCATGATTCCGTTGGTCAAATGCTACCGCAATTAGACCCCTGTTTTGCTGGCTTACGGACACTCGCCCCTCCCGCAGTCTGTTGTTCCAATCTGCAATAGCATGGCACGCAAAGCCTTCCATTGAATCTGCCGTGCTTAGTCGTGGGTGCATGAGGTATAGACATGATACCTCCTTAGCTTGCATAGGGAGTTCATCCAGACCATAGACGGAGCAAAGGATTCCAGCAATTGGGAACAGTTTCTTGGACACCTGCGGAGCAGGTAGAGAGTAGGTTTTCAACATTGGATCAATTGGGGAGGCCATATTATTAATCTATGGCGTGTTTCCAAGGTAAGAGGGACTGCGCAACATACTTTGTAGCCATCAAGCAATTGCATTCTCATCGGGTAATATCGATCTTATATCCAGTCTGCCGAAATATTTGAATTGTTCGGAGTCCGAGGTCCACTAAATGAATGTCACGTGTTTCATCATCGGAAAATAATCTTATTAGGTAAGCCTCAAGTGGGATCCACTCTGGTTGTAACTCCCAAGATATCCAAGTTTAGGCAAGGAGAGAACTATCATCAGATCAAGGCTCCTGATAGATTTCTGTCTCCGGATCTGCTATTCTTGGACCGCCACGGGCCCGCAACCTTAGGGTTCGAGATATCGTAATGATACTTTCATAAACAGCCTTAGCTCCTTTGTTTATTCAAGTAGTTAGTTCTTACAAACCTCCTCGCTGCTGACCTCTGTTAAAGTTTGGAAACCCCTGACAATGAATATTATTATTATCTAGGAAGCCCGCCACAATGGGAGAAGACTCAGCGCTATCAATGACAGAGGGACTTCAGCAATCTTCGTCGCCACAACGGTCGAGTGTTCCACAAAACTTGAAGCTTACGATGCCTCACACTCTTTCCACGAACGGGGCGAGCTTCACTACCCGCTTGGAAGACGAAACATTGCACTCGAGTGACCTAAAGAAAGATCCTGTGAACGGAATCAATGGGACATATGGAGCCCCCGGAACGCTTGTAGAGTTGGGCACGGGATTCGAACCTCCCAGCACAGAACAGCCCGCGCGTGATATCGACGCTTCGGGACACCAAGGAAACATACCCTATCGGACTAAGCCTGCTTCCATTCCCTCACGAAACCCATCGACTAAATCTGGAAAGGGAAAACAGCAGAGGCAACATGGCTTCTCAACTCCACAGGGGCGGCGGAGTGTGCAGTTTGCTCGAACCGCTTCCGACGTTGAAGGAGGAGGATCGCATTCCAGGGCCTCCTCCATCGGCCCAGAAGATGGAGACCAGAAGGACCGCCGGTTTCATTCGTCCCTGTTCTCAAAACTGAAAACATTCGCTGCCTCCCCTTCCTTCCCAACGCATGCCCGTACCTCCAGTGGCCTAACCACAGGGGATGAATCCGCGGAGCCTAGACCACCTGGAGATACCGCCACTCCAAGATCAGAAAGAGGGGAATTCCGTTTCCCCAACACTCTTGAGGAAGAAGGAAGCGAGATGGATGCGGATGCGGAGTCAAGTTCTGGGGAACAGGCGGTTGGTATACCTAAAAGGAAGCGAAAAATCCGAAGACAACGTGGCTCGGGGTCCCATACTGCACCTACGACCCCGAAGTCAAGCGCGCGGCCAAGTTTCCATCCAAGCGGCTCTTATACTCATGGAGACAATTTCTTCGGAAGCCATTTCTCTCGCAGGACTGAACCACACACTATTTCTCCTCCGACACGTGATGGAGTTTCTGAAGATGAAGGCCGAGAAAGGTTAAAACGTGATAATATGTGGAGAAGACGAAACGGATGGCTCCATAGCGCTCGCGGGTTAAGTTACAGCGGTCCAAGTCGGACGGAAGGTCGAGGTTCCCAAGATGAGAAAAGGCTTAGTAATTTTCGACGTTTAACAGGATTTGGTGGCCAGCCAGACCATGGTGAGGGTCTTACTGCAACATGGAGAAGACACAAGGCAGAAAGAGGGTCCAGCCTTAGTGCTCAGAGATGGCGACAGATTAAAGCAGGGCTAAAAATGATCGGTCACCGCAAAAAGGTCGAAACCACAGTAGACCATGTCAAGTCTGCCGAGCTACTCGCCGAGCTTATCTCTGGCATCCCCGCTGCTCTTTTGTTGGCAAGTATGTTCCAAAGGGACGAGCATGGAAGCAGGCGTATCCCTATCCTTCTTGAGCAGCTAAAGGTTCATATCACGGACAGCAAATTTGACCCACACTCTAGTGATCGCCACTTGACGTTCCGAATAGAACTAGAATATGGCAGCGGAATGACACGGATGAAATGGGTAATTAACAGAACTCTCAGGGATTTCGCCAACCTACATATAAAGTATAAACTCCAAATTGGGACCATGCGGTATATTCAGCTTAAAGCCCATGACTCAGCGCATCCTTTACCCCGTTTTCCAAGAAGCGCCTTCCCTTACCTACGGGGTGTTCGCGGTCTGGAGAGTGAGGGGGAAGAAGAAGCCGATGAAGGAGGCTTTGAAACTGCAGGAGATGGTACCAGTGGTAACGAAAAAGCAAACAGGAAAAAGAAACGACGCTCGTCCCTAGGTCTTTCCCGGAGACGGTCAAGCTTGACTGCTCCAGTGGAAAGTGGTGCATCGGGGGTCTTGGAGTCAGGCATTACGCGCGCTGCGTCCATTGGGGGGATTAAAAAGGAATCGTACCCGGAACGCCAACGGAAAAAACTCGAGATCTATCTACAGCAAATGATCCGTTTCCTCATTTTTCGCCCTGACAGTAACAGACTTTGCAAATTCTTGGAACTTTCAGCATTGGGTGTTAGGCTGGCATCGGAAGGTAGTTACCATGGCAAGGAGGGGTTCCTCGTTATTCAATCGTCGAAGGGACTTGATTTCCGGAGAGCACTCAATCCAGCCATGATAAAATCGCGACACTCGCCGAAATGGTTCCTGGTACGACATAGCTATGTTGTTTGTGTTGATTCACCTGAAGAAATGAACATCTACGACGTCTTTTTGGTAGATCCTTTCTTCCAAATTCAACACCAGAAAGTACGGCTACGTGACCAAAAACCTAAACAATTAGCTCGATCCGCGAAAGAGTCGGCTGCGCATCCACAGCACCATACACTAAAACTTCAAAACTCCGAACGTAAATTGAGATTGCTCGCTCGAAATGAACGTCAGTTACATCAGTTTGAAGACTCTATTCGATTCATGATGGATACCACACCTTGGTCGAAACCTAATCGGTTCGATAGCTTTGCTCCTGTCCGTCCAAATTGTTTCGCTCAATGGCTAGTCGATGGCCGTGACTATATGTGGGTGGTATCCCGCGCCATAAACCAGGCCAAAGACGTCGTGTATATCCATGATTGGTGGTTGAGCCCCGAGCTCTACATGCGGCGGCCAGCTGCTATTAGCCAGAAATGGAGGCTCGATCGATTGCTTCAAAAGAAAGCGCAGGAGGGCGTCAAGGTTTTTGTGATAATGTATCGAAACATCAACTCTGCCATTCCTATTGATTCTGAGTACTCCAAATTTTCTTTGCTTGATCTGCACCCGAATATCTTCGTGCAAAGATCTCCCAACCAGTTTCGACAAAATACTTTTTTCTGGGCTCACCACGAGAAGCTGTGTCTGGTTGACCATACTCTTGCATTCATTGGAGGAATTGATCTTTGCTTTGGGAGATGGGATACTCCACAACATCTCCTTACAGATGACAAGTTGACAGGATTCGAACTGACTGACGTGCCTAAAGATGCGGATCATTGTCAGCTCTGGCCTGGGAAAGATTATTCGAACCCGAGAATTCAAGATTTCTATGACCTCGACAAACCGTATGAAGAAATGTATGACCGCGAGGTTGTTCCTAGAATGCCGTGGCATGACATTGCCATGCATGTGGTAGGACAGCCGGCTCGTGACCTCACAAGGCATTTTGTTCAGCGATGGAATTACATTCTAAGACAACGAAAACCTACTCGGCCAACTCCATTCCTGCTACCTCCGCCGGATTTTAATCCCGCAGATTTGGAATCTCTTGGCCTTGATGGCACTTGCGAGGTTCAGATCCTCCGTTCAAGCAGCACTTGGTCAACCGGAACACCTGACGTGACTGAACACAGCATCATGAATGCTTATGTCAAGATGATTGAACAGTCGGAGCACTTCGTCTACATCGAAAACCAGTTTTTCATTACCAGTTGTGAAATTGAAGGAAAGAAGATTGAAAACCTTATTGGGGATGCTCTCGTGGAACGTATTATTCGAGCATCTAGGAGTGATGAAGAATGGCGAGCTGTGATCCTGATACCTCTTATGCCCGGTTTCCAAAATCAGGTTGATACGGAGGGAGGTACTAGTGTTCGTTTAATCATGCAATGTCAATATCGAAGCATCTGTCGCGGGGAGACATCCATATTCGGCCGGCTTCGAGCCGCCGGAATCGAACCGGAAGACTACATCCAATTTTTCAGTCTAAGATCGTGGGGAAAGATCGGTCCACGGAAACACTTAGTAACAGAGCAGTTGTACATTCATGCCAAGTGCATGATTGTTGATGATCGGGTTGCGATAATTGGCTCTGCTAATATCAACGAGCGTTCTATGCTTGGTTCAAGAGATTCCGAGTGTGCTGCAATCGTTCGAGATACAGATCTGCTGTGGTCCACCATGGGCGGCAAGCCGTACCTTGTTGGTCGTTTCCCTCACACACTTCGGATGCGGCTTATGAGAGAGCATATCGGCTTGGACGTTGATGAAATTATGGAACAAGCCGAAGCTGAATCTGACCAAATGAATGCGCGAGGGGAACCAAATACTCCTTACAACTACAGCGACGATATGCTCGATCGTGAGTTTGATGAGGCTACAGAAAGACAAGATGAGAGAGAGTTATTAGAACGAAGACACCGAATACAAGATGAATTCCTTGCTAGATCGGAAGAAATGCACAGCTTCAACCACGATGTTGATTGGGAACAGGCAAACAACCCCAATCTTAAGAGTAACAAAAAGCTCACCCAGGACTCAAGAGTAATGAGGAATGAGGACCACAAGAAGGATCTGGAGGGCTACGGTGTCGACCAAATGAAGAGTATTCAGGAGGCAGGTCATGGTGATGGTCGTGACTCGTTCATTGTGGATGATAGGATAGAATTCCTTGGCCCAGGATCACCTGGAGATCCTAACAGCCGAAGCAGACAATCTAATGTTCCCAAAGAGCTACCGTCTCAGACCGGAGATCACGGCGAGCAAGAGGATTCCCCACCAGCTGCAGCCAAGAACTTTGATCCAAGTGTTCCCAGTTCCAGACCATCCACTCAACCTACGGCTTATGATCTATCTAGCAATGCCGGTAATCCCTCGCTGCAAACTTCCCAAGATATCCCTAACAGAACACATATAGTTTCGTCTGAAATCAATCTCCCAGTGGTGGATAAGGACTGCATGAGGGACCCTTTGAATGACTCATTTTATTTGGATATCTGGCAAGCAATAGCAGAAAACAATACAAAATTATATCGCAGTGTTTTTCGCTGTATGCCTGATAACGAAGTCAAAACATGGAAGGAATACAAAGAATATACTGCCTATGCTGAACGCTTCGCTGATATGCAGGGCCAAAGCCACTATGAGGCCAAAGCTCACGAAGCCAAAAATAACCCAGAAGCTGCCAAAGTAACTGGTCCTCCTGGCACTGCCGTGATCCCTAACCAACTGGCAAAGGCTGAAAAGATGGGGCATGATATGAAAGATAAAGTCCTGAACCCAGTTAAATGTGATACCTTAGCTGCCGAAGAGGACTTGAGACACTGGGCCTCAGAAGCAAACAAAGCCCAAATCGAGAGGAAGAGGTTCGAGCTTTCCCACCAGGAGCCTAGCACATCTCAGGGAGAAAAAGACGCATTAAAGGCGACGGAGACGAAATCGTCGCACTCCAGCCAGAATTTGGATGGCGTGATGGCATCATTCCCTGAGGTAGAAAGGAGCCCGCAGAAATGGGCAGACGGTAGCCTGCGCCCGACGGCCTCACAGTCCCAAAGGCGGAGACGGAGAGCAACCACCCGTTCATCGCGGCGGGAATTCCATGCTTCTGACGACATCATATCGAAAGCTGAAGCGGAAGATTTGATGAATTTGATACAAGGGCATCTTATAGTTTGGCCGTATGAATGGTTAGTAGTGGCGCTGTTTCGATACTTGAGCCAAAACAAAACATTTGGGATATCTGCGAACTAACGGTTTTGCTAATGCCATAGGCTGGAACGAGAGGAACAAGGAGGAAACTGGCTATACACACTCGATCAGATATCTCCTTTGGAAATATAGTAAGCCTTCTCTTCGAGACCTGCTCTTACATCCCTCATACTAACTGGCAATGCCACATTGTAGCAACTGATCGTCGTTCGGTGGTGTATCTCCACACGCTGTGCCTGTACCCGTTTTCCAGTATCCTCGTTTATAAACTTTTTCAATACCTTTTCCTATTTTGTATTTTAAGCTGACACTCGGATTCCAAAAATTTCCTAGAACATTTGCCGCTTAAATACGTAACTGTATGTTCCCCTATTCTCCCCTTTACTTTGCCCGTTTGTTGTTCTCATCCCCTTCTCAGTCCCTTTCCCTCCTCTTCCTTAGTTCTTGTGTTGCATTTCTAAGGTGTCAGGCTGCATCATTCAGAAGTTTAGTTCACACATTTGTTACTGGCATTTTCTACAGCCTCCCTCACCCTTTAATTTTTCCTCCTCCAGCCTCTTTCCCAGACTGTTTATTTCCTTCCTCTCATCTTCCCTTCATCTTCCTTTGGCTTCACTACCAAGTTCTCACTGCACTCCTATTTCTTTTTTCTTTTTCTCTTTTGTCCCTTTCACTTGCTGCCTACGCTTTCCGCCCATATTATTTTCGTTTTCGTTTTAGAACGACCTTGGCATACATATACATGTATATATAAAAATTGAACTCGCGTGATTCTCGAAATGCCCCCCTTCCCTCTGCGTAATTTTCACAGCCCATCGGCTCCACAAACTCACAGAGTAAAAAAAGACAACTTTCGGGCACCATCATGCGCCTTCATCCAGCCACATCAGCTTGGAAACCGCGCATTAAGTATGATATAAACGATTTATAACTAGGACAGTGCTTACGAATGCCCAAGCAGACGAGTCTGTTCCATATTGCGTTTGAGGCCAGCATTGCTGGGATCCGATGAAGTCATCGATAGCTAGCTAGTCAGAGGAGGAGCCCCAAAGGATCCAATTCCAGCGTGGGTGATTTATTGCCAATCGAGCTGTTCAGTTATCTGCATGCTTGTGTTGTATGTGGAGTGAGTGGTGTGAGGAGGGAGGCACATTTTTTAACTGTATTTCGGACGCGATGGGTTTCTTTTAATAATTTGTGGGTGATCTGAAGATCCTTTTCAATACTGCTTATACTGTTTTCCTTCTGCAAAGGCTTTTTTCTCCCTCGTCTTCGGAAGGAAGCCTCTGTTGATTTATGCCAAACGGTTATTATGCAGCCTAACGTCGTAGCTGCCCTTTTTCTTCCTTCGTGTATTTTGAATTGCGGTCGGAGGTCGGAATAACAGATCGGGCGCATCATGCGAAGCGTGGTATGGTGTTCGCCGAAAAACCACGCCCGGTGTTACGCCTTGTGGGGATTAAAATGAGGATAAGCGAGGGATGATGATGTCATTCATGCCTGCAGTGATCTCCATGACTTGTCGCGGTATCGGCCATCTTTCCAAGGTTCCCTCAACCTCACGCTTTGCCTTCAATAACTTTGGATATTCCGAGTAGTGTCTCTGAAGAAGCCGGGATTCAGGAACTGCCAAATGCATCGTACAGGGTAGTCTGCACTTGGAACTGATAAGGAAGGGCACCCGGAGCGACCAGCGCAAAGCATGTCGATCTATCTTCGCTCCTCAGCTATGTAGTTGACTCGCAACGAAAATCGATCCGCTGGCGACAGAGAGGAGCTTCGCCTGTTTGCTCAGCTGACGTTCTGCACAGAAAAGCGCATGGAATTTCCTGAAGGGTGTTTACTATATCTCCCCAGCACACAGTTCATACGCATGTTATCCCATACAGGCGTAGGCGCTTTCCACAAGAGATGAGGACCAAGATAGGATGCGCCAAGGCTGAAGAGCACCAAGCAAAATTGCGATTAGCAACGATAGCGCAGCGCTTCTGGTGATTGACGGCGCTAACTACTGCGGAGGCCACATTGTCTCCTCTGTAGTGACTTCTTCAACTGTGTGTTGTGAAATAGAGACAGATACTAGTAAATGACTATATAGAACATTTGTTCTGTCTTTCCAAGGTAACATCCATTGATGCGCAAGTCACTTGCAACATGTATAAATTCCAATGTTCATCTCATCGCTCATCGCCTGCGTGCGGAACTCTTTCCAACGGGCGACCCCATGATGCTAGCTAGTTGCAGGGAAAGTTGACGCCAACAGGAGAGTGTTCCTATTTTTAAATCACTTGCTCCCACTAGCGTTGATGTGGGGATAGAATACGAAGATTCGAAGAAGCTGAGAACAAGGAGGATTGAAAATCCTTGCTACGTACCTTTATACCGACTCCGTTGTTATATGACAATGGCTAGTTAGTTTTCCATTAATTACAAATGTACCACCTAAAATTTCCAAATATAATTGTATAGTTAACTAAAATATATGTCAGTGACTATAAATAATTTTATATGGGGAATGAATTACCTTTTAAATGTTCATGTTTTATTATCCAAAAAGATTCCTATAATTCTTAGTTCCTGAATGAAATATTTTGTAAGATAACTGCTAATATCATTTATTATTCGACTAGGATTCTACGCGCACACTGACATACGCAGCGTACAGTCCAGCAACTTCGGGCATCATCGAGCAAACAAAGCTGAACCTGTCAAAATGTCACGCTAACTCACTGCTGTGGAGTCGCTCACCCCGTCGTCGTGCGTGAGCCAGCAAAGCCTCCATTGCCTCACAGGGATTTGCCCAAGCGCCCACAGGTGACAGGGACCACAGCCCTGCTCCAGCCATGAGGCCAAGGCTCCGTAATGCGTCTTCCTCACCCTGGCGCCCATCACCAAGCGCATTTCAATTTCTTAGCCTGGCCTGTGAATTGCTGGGCCCGTTTTGGGTTTTGGGGCTAGCTGGCCCGTGGTGCTTTTGATGTCGCGGGAAACTGTTCGCTGTTTCGGCCTTCGCCCCCGTGTTGCCTAGCCACTGGAGCGGGTCCGTTGTGGATTTAGTTCATTTTGCTTGTTCTCCCAATGGAGAGATTCTTTGAGGACCGATCTGAGGTTTCTGACCTGGAAACCAAGGGCTGCGGAATGGGTGGAGTCCATGGACAGGGGAGACCACCTGGACATGCTCCGCCTATCTTCTGATATATATGAGCGGAGTGTCCGTCGTTTCTCACCCATGTTTTCATTTTCGTTGCTCCCCTCCTTCCCCCCTCCCCTCCTCTCTCTCTAGGGGTGTGTCCTTTCGTTCGAGAGGATTTCCCTTTTTGTTGATCCAAATAATATTCCTTTAGTTTTTTGTCGTCTTTCTTTATATTTCTTGTTGTGTATATTTATGAGACTCCTTTTCTTCAACAGTACGCGAACAACATACTCTTAAACGGCAATCCTCGTTTTCAGTGTGAGGATGAGGGCCCTGGGACATATCTTCACGTCCCTCTCTTTATTGGCAGTTGCATCTGTGGGATTTGGCCAACCATCCTCCGATGCAGTCACATTAGAGAAACGAGCAGTCGAGCCTTGCAAAAAAGTGGCCGACGCATATGACGAACAGTCTGCTGAGGATTCAGAGGGTGCAGCCTTCCTTCTATACGCTCTCCTAGTTGTCCTGTCTGGCTAATCACTTACTGACTGCTGTGCCATTCGTTAAGGACCATTCTTCGTGTCGGCACAGCTCGCACACGACTGCTTGGTTTCCATCCCCATCAACAGAGGTGATGCTCTTCGGTTAGTGGATGGCCTTACTTCATTCTGGAAATGGCAAAGCACGATAGACTTCCTCAAAGATCCGCCATCCGGCTATCTGCTACCGGCGTCAGACCTGGTTGGTGAGCTGGCAAAGATCCGTAGGAAGGTTTCTAAGGGCAAATACAAGAATGAATACGACTTCCAGAGCGACTTGTCTGCGCTGGCAAGGACTACGCATGATGGACACTTCAACTTACAACTCGATGCTGCAAACGTTTTCCGATTTCGCCGCAGCAGGGCGGGGCCAATTGTCTCGGTCTCGAAAGATGGAAAGAGTCTCCCGAAAATTTATTCTTTCTGTCAGTCAACCCATATATAACTATATTCTCTTCACAATCTTCGACATATATGATACTGATAGGCTAGTCTAGATGATCTCAACATCACCGATCCCAAATTTACTCCGTCTCCAATTGAAGAGATCGACGGCGAAGATGCTACTGAATGGCTGAGAAAATTATCATACGAGGGCTCAAACCAAGACCCAGACGCTCTCTACAATGATCTTTTCTGGTCCATCCCAACGGATGCCAATGGAGGCTATGGAGGTTTCTATGGCCAAATTGGCGTCTACACGGGGCCGTCTATCACCTTCAAATTCGAAAATGGCACTGTCAACAAATATGAGAACAGGGCCTCATTTAGTGCTCCGTTTACTGATGTCGTAGATGGAAAGAGCTTCTACGAGAAATTCTGCAGTTCTAAACTTGGATTGCCATTCAAAAAATCGAGGAGAGATGATATCTGGAAGGATGCCCCGATGAACCGGGAGGTAGCGCCTCGTGCTAGCGAAAACTCGCGACCCTTGTATCCCAATCCTGTTATCGATCAGGCAGGTGGCGATGTTGGGGGTTACTTCCTCGATGGCGACCACGGCGATGTCGCTGTTTTGTCTGCTTCTTCCTTCGAAGGTTCTGGGGCTCAAGGAAGTGTTTCTTTCCAGGAGACTATCGAAAAATTTCTGTCTGAATGCAAGAAAGCCGGAAAAAAGAAGTTGATTGTTGACGTTACTGGTAATGGAGGTGGAACGATTCTACTGGGCTATGATATGTTCAAGCAGGTTCGTAGCAATAATCTGGTGCTTGCGATACGTTCCATGTCAATAAACTCACGTGCCCTTTCTAGCTCATTCCAAATGGTAAAGTAGACGATGCGTTTAATATCCGCGCTCAAGAGCAGCTTGACATCATTGGAGAAAAGGTCCAAAATATGCTCAACGACGGGAAGGAAACCGCCGGCGACAGAAATGAGAGGGATGGCCTTTACGACCTTGATTCCTATGTTAATCTGGATAATAAGAAGTTCAAAAGCTGGGATGATTTCTATGGCCCGGTTCAGGTGGATGGATTCAAGTTTAGCCATCCAGCACGCTGGGATTTGAACAACGAAGACACTAGCCGACGAGGATCTGGAGGAATCGTCGTAACCGGGTATTTGAGCCGTGCCAACGCGTTCAATGAAGTTTTCAAACTGGATGACATAGTCCTCCTCACGGATGGCACTTGTGGATCTACCTGCGCCCTTTTCGCGAACCTCATGCAGAAGGCTGGTGTTCGAACCATTGCTGTGGGCGGACTTCCCCGTGAGGGACCCATGCAAGCTGTGGGTGGAGTCAAAGGCGCGCAAGTCCTCACCTACCAGCGAATATATGAGACAGCTTCAATGGTCTTCGATCTCTATGCTTCGCCCCAGGAAAAACGCAAATGGGCAGGTACTGATTTGGGCGATATCTATCGAACCGGAAAGTATATATTGGCTCGAACTGTTCGAGATGGCGAGGGCGCCCGTATTAATTACCGCAACGCTATTGACCCTAAAGACGAGAAACGGATCCCTCTCCAATTCGTCTACCTGGCCGCTGGTTGCCGCATCTGGCAGACGCGTGATATGGTCTTTGATATAACCAAATTGTGGATTGCTGCAGCAGATAGAGCGTTCGGTGGAGGAGCATGTATTCCTGGGTCGACTCCGCAACCCTCAAAACACAAAGGCGATGGCCGCCTCTTTCGCCCTTTCTCAACAGGATCTTAAGCTATCAACTTACCGCGTTGATTGGTAACTACCATGACTGGTTTGCCGTCTGTCTCCCCGGTCCTCTGTGTAATATATAGCACCACCTCTTCACGGCCTCTCCACATCTTCTACTCGCCACATCCGGGAGCACTGTCTAGAGATCTTTTTCGCTCTCTCATACTCGCTTTGTGAATAATGTTTTATTGCTTGAGAACCATAGAAGGTATTTTGCGTATGTATTATAACCCCCTAATGCGCATGTTTTTCATGTTTGTGAATACTTGAGCTTTTCAACTTTTGTTGTTTTTATAATAGCCCCCTGGCCCTCTAATATTAGAATAAAGAAATATTAGAATGTTTCAACTCTTCCTTTTCGCAAGTCGTGCAGCCTGGACACAGAATAAACAGAATGCAAGTGTATGTGTACACGTAAATATAAACTTAATATAGAGAAAGGGACATTCGCTTTCTTGCAGCCTCACCACATCTTGCTTTCTCAACCCAGCCGAGCAGCTTCCATGTTTCCTTTAAATCGTAATGTTGTATTTTAAGTGGATGTGCATGCTGCGCAGAGTTTCCCTCCCAGAAAACGAATGAGAGGAATTGAGAGAAGTGAAAATTAACGAATATCAAAGGCAGGTACAATGCCAGGCCATATATATTGGCAACCCTTACCACAATCATGGTCCCTTTTTGTGGCAGAACAGAAGTAGGGATTGCCAATACTTGGGGCCCAGCACAGTAAGTATTATATTTTCAATACTTTTTGGTGGTTATAATCTTTGCGTTCTCCTTCACGAGCACGTCTATTTCTTCTTCGTCGGGGCATATATTCAACCCACTCATCCATATCCCGACAGTCCAGCTGCAGATATTTACATCGATCTCGTGTTGGCGAAAGGAAGAATAGGCGAGCTTGAGAAAACGGGCCTGAGTGATGTTATGGCGTTGAGTGCTCTGACTAACAACTTTGCTGAGAAAAGATGAAGATTGCTTTTCAGATGTCGTATTGGTTCTTTGCTCTGGTATTCTTGTGTGTCGCCCTCTGATGCGCACCTAATTTACAAAAACAAAGCGCTTGTATACAAACTTCGAGGTTCAAGCATTCGGAAATATATCGGTCATGCTCAGGGCCTGTATGAGCGGGGATAATTAAATCCGATAGTGAAGTGTCAAACATGATGTAACATGGGACTTCATGCCACACCAAGTTGTACAGTACCACCACGCATTGTCGATTCATTTTATTCTTACAAGCTGACAATACCGGAAGCAAACGTGCCCTTTGTGTCCGCGCAAGAAACACGTCAATATCGTGGAAGCCATTCTGTCGTGCAAGACGAATATCCCGCCAGCTATTGGGAATGATGTCTTTCTTGTGTCTATCCCGGCCTGCGCGTCTCGATTGGGATAGACTGTACAGCTTCCCCCACTGCTGACGGAGCTCCAGCTGCCGCAGATACTCTGATTCTAACTACAAGTATGCTTTTATTTCTGTGGACGATGGTTGTGGGCCCGGCGCTCGCTTGGAGTATTGTTTGCTCCCTGCGTCCCTCTCCACAAACAAAATCTTGGAACAAAGCCAACAATGGAGGTTGGCGGTTAAATTCCAATCTATAGCAGTCCAGATTAAGCAGTGTTTAAGCAGATCAAACCGGCTGGAGCTGGGAAGCCAGAAGTTAACTCCGCACGGTTGCGACTTACTTCCTCATACTCAGAGATTGCAACGAGTTGATCGCCATGCAGGCAACCTGCCAGCGCCACTATGTTTTTGAATTATTCTTTTTACTCGACGTAGCTGCAAGACGCAGGATGCAGCCTACCCAAGTTTAGGAGCCCACTTTTGTTGTAGTCCAGCCCTTTGCTATCCCCTTCAGGAAAACTCAACAGGTCAAACTTGTCCATCCATTCTTACAGGTGTGCTACAAAGGAAGGCCTTTTGTGTGTCCTTTTGGCTTTGGTCATGAAGGGTGGTCCATTCAAATCTGCAATTTCTCCGTATCCCCAAATATTTGAGGTTGTTGTATTTCGGAGAATATTGTCCAAAAGGCCAAACAAGAATCTTTCCCTGTGGCCAAAAATGTATTTGAAAATGATTTTTCTATATTTCCTATTGAGAGAACTAACTTCAACATGGGATGATTCGCATTCGATGGCCGCAACTTTAGGAATCTTATTCCGCCGTGTGAATTCAGTTGGTTGAGGACTACAATTTGTGGTTAGGGAGGGATACAAGGCGTCAACTTTTTATTCGCATTGAACAGCATTCTGCCTTTCCGGCCTGTCATGTCAGTTGGCATCCCAAGCTGTGCAGTGATGATTGACGTGTTTCTCATCTTTTTTTCTGCCATCAATTTTAAGACTACCCCTTTCTTTCGTCTCCACATATGCGAATGCGAATCGAGGGCTCGGAAACTAATCCGTGCCATATTGTGCGACTCCAGTGTCTGACACGCCTTTTTGAGCTTGTACGCAACATGGATAATCCATGCGGTAACAATAGGCACACCTTGATGGTACGGGCCTCCCATAGACCCTCCTCCACGTTCGTTGCGGGATTCCTCAGGTATATGGCATCTGGCAGGTATGATCTCCACCACGGCCACTCCAGCTCAAAAAGGCCACAATGGCAAGACTTCAGGACCTGGATTACATCTGTCAGAAAAAATTGTGCCGTACATAGCCACTGCATAGTATGCAGTGGCATTATCTATATTCGTTTAACACTATCATGATACCTGCCAATTGATAGCCTTCATTTTCTTTTTCAAAATTCTAGCTGATGACTGACTAGGCCACCCAACAATATCCCATAGACCTGGGTTGTCGGTTACTGTGGCTGTTGACCCATAGCAATTATCCTTTGCTTTGTGGAACTAATTTTATTCCTGCTGGGATTCACACTCTGCGCCGCTTTTTGCGACAAAAGGATTACTTGACAGTTCATCTCTCATATTTTATAACCCCCCCGAAGGCTTATCACTATCTCATTTATGCTATTTTGTGTGGTCCTTAATTGCAATGTATTAGGGTTTACCAAATTTGCTGGATTTCAATATCTACGTTACTCATCGCCAACGTACTTCAGATTTTCTCATGATTTAAAGCAGAGAAAGGAACACCCATTTGCCATCAACCTCGTTTCCTTCAGAATGAAATTTGTTTCACTGAACCCCTAGCCTATGAGAGGGGATGGGTGCTAATCTCGTGTCAACAGTCGTATCGCCAGATTAGGTCGACTGTTACAGCACTTAGGATGTGATAAGGGCAACTTTTCTTAACGATCTTGATCGTTTAAAGTGGGCAGCTAACTTACACAGTTACAAAGGATTGACAAGACTATTCCTCCTGCTTATCCTTTTATGCATATGCACGATTCTCCTCTATTCTTCCTTATATCGGTGCTGGGCCAATGGATCAAAGTGAGGGATTTCACACTGGCCATGACATTTTGGAAAACTGAATGAAGGAATACACTGACCCTTCTATCTCAGGTCTTCATTCCAATGCACCCGATCTCGCTAGGAACTGGAATTTTGAGAGAGTTCAACCACTAGACGAGGAGGATACAATTGAAAGCAAAAGTCAGGGTCTGCCTAGAGAGAATTCCATTCAGCCTCTAAATTACCAGATGTCGCAGAACATGATCTTGGAAATGACGTCGACGCCACTCGAATACACTAATTTTGAGCCGTCAACGCACCTTGAATGTTTTCAGGCCCCGGCGGGTGGTACTGGAGTAGATCTGGACACATCCCATGCTTCTACTCATATTCTGGGCGGGTTAAGCCTAAACGGCGTTTTTGATTTAGACAACATCTCTCCTACCTCCTATCCGCTTGCGAACTCCGGGACTCCCCTACCTGGTATATCTCCTTCATCAGAGGGTGGTTGGAACCACGTTGGATATTCCAACGTAGAGTCCGTTACTCTCACGCAACGTAGCCCTTCGCGCTTTTTGAGCGTGCCTGCATTAGTTGCAAGAGACTTCCCGGCGGTAAATCATAGACACCCTCACCTGCGTGATCCAAAACTTTTGGCCGACCCATTTCAACAATGGAGATTGCAAAAATGGCGCAACCTCCAGGGTAACAAACCTCCGTACGGGGCTCAAAGGTTGCTACAGCTCGATCTCAGAGAGCCTAGAAAGAATCTGCAATCTCAGTCTTGTTACCTTTATGAACACCAAGGGCAGGCCTTACCGCCTGGTTCCGGATTCCGTGTGTCCGAACCGATGAAACAGCCAGACCTGGTATCACATCAATACCGAAATTGGATGTCACGTTCGACTATGGGAAACAACTTCAACAGCCCTGGTGTAGGCATCTTACCCGACCTAAAGATATTTCATAACATTGGTTTCAATATTAAGGAGAAGAATGACTCAAATTTTCTCCCAGAGACATTCTCCGAAAATGTTGCATACCAATACCCAACTGAGGAACCAACAGGCGACCCCAATGCTATAGATGCTTTAGTAGGTCACCTTGCCCGAACTAAAGACCGAGTACCTGATTTGTTGCTAATGGTACTCACTAGTAGAAATGTGTAACAACCCGACCGAACCCTGAAATCAGTCTTGGAGCCATTGACATGTCCTGCGCCTTTGTCATATGTCAAGTTACAGACCGTGGTTGTCCAATTATATATACTTCTGACGCATTTCGCCGATTGACTGGCTACTCACACGAGGAAACAATCGGACGTGACTGTCGTTTTCTTCAGGAACCAACTGGGTTCATCGGACATGGTTTAAAACGAAGATCCTCTGATGATAGGGTAATCCGCTACTTGAAACGCAAAGTAAACACTAGATCTGAGGCTCAAGGGTGTCTGGTCAACTACCGAAAAGGAGGACAACCCTTTCTAAATCTCCTTTCCGTAGTCCCTATCCAGTGGCTTTCGGACGAGTATAACTATTATGTTGGGTTTCAGGTAGATCTGGTAGATTCTCCACAGGTCGTCACTGGGAAAAACTTTGGTAAGTTTTCCCATTCCGATTTCTACATTTGCTGACCCCAAGCTACCAGATGGGTCGTATATAATTGACTACCGAAGAATGGAGCTTTCACCAAATATATACGACCAAGGAGTCTTAACCAGTTCGCAAAATAAATACTTATCCTTCGAATATCCAAATCGTGACATCGTCACTACTGCTAAAGCTAAGCACCTAAGACGTTTCTCTTTTGAAAACCCTTGGGAAAAAGCGCTTCTAGGAAGCTCGGAGTTCTTATTCCACATAATATCAGAAACTGGGGTATTTTTATACTTCACACCGTCAGCGTCCACGATTCTGGAATACGAATCTAAAGAACTGAATGGATCAACTCTATCCTCAATCTGTCATCCTAGTGATATAGTTACTGTGATAAGGGAGCTTAGGAGCTGTGAGCCAGGTTCAGTCGTGAATCTCCTCTATCGCATTCGAAGAAAGAAAAGCGGCTACACATGGTTCGAAAGTCTGGGTTCCGTATACATTGAGTCTCCGCAAAAACAGAAATATATAGCTTTTCTCGGAAAACTGGTGGTGGTCTTTGCCATCTCCCGCGATGAGTTGATGAAGAATAGTGGCATGAACGAGGGCGAGATTTTGGCGAAGATCTCACCTTCGGGAATTCTACTTTTTGTTTCGTCCAGCGGAAGCGCTTTTCTGGATAGGCCGTCTGAAGAGTTAGTGGGAGAGAAGCTCCAGAATCTGCTTAGCGGCGAGTCACGAGCAGAATTTGAGAATGCATTGGGCATTGCGCGGAGTGGGAAACAAGTCGCTTGTAAACATGGATTACAGCATCGTCGAGGTCATTTACTACAAGTACAAAGCACCATATACCCAGGTGGAGGACCTGACGCAGCTTTGAAGCCTACATTTCTGATTTTACAGATTCGGCTCCTGAAGTTAGGGAGAACAATATTTGGTTTCCGGGCGAATACGGTCACTGCGAGGACACGAAGGAAGGACACCAGTGCCCTAATGATTCGCCAGCCGGTCTCATCAGATCTATATTCGCGTCCATCTTCAGATTTAGCCGACCACAGCCGCAGCAATCAAAATAGCATGTCCTCCTCGTCCTCCTCCTTTATTACAAGGCAGCAAACTGCCACGCGAGCATTACTTAAGCCGAACCCGACCCATATCACAACATTCAATACACATTCCTCTGATCCTTCCCGGTTCGGCAGCCGGCAGGAACAAGAGTGGGTGGAAAAAGAAATTAGAGAAAGCTGCAACATCTTCGAAGAACTGAACCCGACCCGCGCCACAAACTGGCAGACGGAGCTAGATCATTTGAGAAAACGCAACAGGTTGCTTGTCGAGGAGTTGCATTATTTAACCGCATTGAAAAGGAAGCGAAAGCGGAAAAGGGATGTTGAGGTGCCTGAGAAAGACTGCTCGCAGTGCCATACGAAGACGACACCGGAGTGGAGGAGGGGTCCCAGTGGGAGCCGGGATTTGTGTAATAGCTGTGGATTGAGGTGGGCTAAGCAAGTGAGTACATATGTCGTTATATGCAGTTTCGTTGTGTGTCGGCTCTGTCTTGCATGATTTGCACCATAGGCTATCATGCGCATAATGAAGACTAACAGCTAATATTTTCATTTAAGAACGGCCGAATAACCGCATTGCCCCGTAAAACTGCCTTCGAGTGACGAACCGGGACAGGACGTAGGAAACTGTCCTCTGAGAGCTCACAGACGCGTTTTTTTTTCGATACAACTCACGGTGACAACGATGGCTATGGCTCATGAATCGGGGATAGCAGGGGTCTGTTCAATTCTGCTATCTGGTTTTCTAGGCTCCATTTTAATGATAATGATAAATCTCAATATGTTTTGGGGCGATTATGAGATATGATTAATGTGCAACGATTTGCATATGGAGGGGATATGGGTCAAAGGGACCAATATAATATAAATTAAATGATTGAAATGAAGGTAGTTGTCTGTTTACCTAGACATCCCACAGCTTCTGTTGTCAACAAACAAACCGGAAATATTCTACGTCTGGACCATTACGGGGTGCAAGAGGCAAACTGGACCTGGACATTGATCCCTTTTTGGGAATACCTGATATGTAAAGGTTACTCGGAGCTGGGGGAGCATACAAGAGTAGCATAGGTCGTATGGACCGTAATTCCCCAAAATGATCACTGATGGTAGGATGGTCAAATCCTCTCAGCTCAGATAGATAATTAGAAGGGTGCGGGAGAGGGATTCCGTATGCCAGTTGAGGAATGTATTTGACATGTCAGGATCATTGTCATAGTTTTCTGACGAGTGTTTCAGATCAAGCTGTCCACTGATTTAACTACGGTGTTAGGTAAGATGCTAGCCAGTGTAATCGTGTTGAATTGAGTCGACGAGTAAAAGCAAATAGCCTTTCGCAAGATAGGTATGACTACGCGGCTCCTTGTAGGAATCGAGTTTGTCGGAACAGAACCGAAGTTGCATGTTCGCCAGGTTCGGTTTGTTCCACAACATCCTGGGAGATGTCTGTGCAAACCTAGACATGCTTTGCCATATCCAAACAGGAGATACAAATTTGAACTTGGGAATTGGACAATAGGCAGCATTATCAGAATGTCAGCTTCTGTACAGTATTCTGTATTACTACATCAACTGGAATTCAGAATGCAGACCTAGCAGCTTGCCTGAGGGTTGTTTGAGAGTATCACCAGTTGAGACTTGGTGGGTTTCGGGGTCCATGTTAACTAAAATGTACGCATTTCAAATAAATAAATAAAATAAGAGTCCAAAAAGGGTGGCCGCTCAGAATCTTGCTTGTGATAATTTCCTATCCTTGTTATGGTCGCACGATTGAGCTCTTGTCTTTGACTTGCAGTCCAAAATTGTTCGGGAGACACACATTTCCATCACAGCGTGGTATTCGACAGTAATCGGGTTCTAGAATCTCAAGAGCAGAGTAGAGTACATTTCCAGGGGATGAAATGTTAGAAGCAGTGCATCCAATCTGGAGATGAAACTTGGAGGACAGCCCTCCAAAGGCTCCTGGGTCATGTCGCGAATTTCTAGAAACGGCAAAGCGCGTCCACATGTTAGGATCAAACTAACTTCCGCAAAGTAAAAAGAAAAGCGCCAACAAAAATCTTTTAAAAACCTGGGCCGCATATCGCTGAGGGGTTGGTGATTATTTATTACTGATGTCAGTCTCTTGGTCTTTTCTAAATATCATGTTATTATACCCCACAATCCAATTGCGCCTGGGCGGTCAATATGTACACACTTTGAGCTGCTTTTGACTCTTTCGTCTGACGCGCCTCCACAACAGTCTAGACCGCTTGAGTATTCGCGACCTGACATACCCTGTGCTGCGCCAATTGGCGTCACCACGCCGCATTGGGTTCCTGCATTGAGCAAACCGATTATCAAACGAGCCATCCGACATATCTTCCCTCGGGAACCTGCGAACGTCGCGAATTGCGTGGGTGACGAGACGAAGCGTGGGGGACGCCGTCGTCCGTGTTTGCCATTCACGGATTCAGTTTTGCTCTGATTCTGTTCTGCAAACCCATGGCGGAGACGGTGTCCATTACAATCTGTGGCGATGGTGGATGCGGTATGTTCCATACCCTGCCTAACTGAGAAGCTATTAATTTTCAAGTTTTTCACATCCTCGCAATATTTTGACTGAGGGCAAGGATGGATCTCATGATCTTTATCAAAAGTTATATGCTGGGATAGGAGATTTGTTACAATGGGTTGGGTGTTGATTGCTAAATGTTGCTTTTGGCTATGGGATGTAGGGAAATCATCTATCACGCTGCGATTGGTACGCAGCCAGTGGACACATGAGTGAGTTTATGTGCACAATTGTTGAATTTATCTAAATATTAAGGATGGCTGCTCATAGTGTTGGAGTAATCTAGATATGATCCTACAATCGGTATGCATCAGTTCCTAAAATCTACCTCAATGCCTTCCTCCTTTGACGCCTGGAATTCGACTATTACGTCTACAAGTGCTCTAGGGAAATGAATACGAAAGTCAAGAAATGGTTTCCTAACAACATGCCTATATATACTAGAGGATTCATATTCCGTTACCCGCACTGTTGACGGTGTTCCATACTTCCTTGCCTTGACGGATACAGCTGGCCAAGAAGAATATCGTGGTCTATGGGCGTCCTCGAATCTCAAGTCTGATGCATTCCTCCTCGTCTACGATATCACAAATGCATCTACATTGGAGGCTTTGGACTACTTCGTGGACATGATCGACATAGAGGCAGAGCAGCGATTGGAAACCAATGCGCGATTGATCAAGGAATTGGGCCCTCTACGTCACCCAGGAGAGCAGGTTGCCGTTGGCATGGCTCCACCGGTAAGGATTGTGGCTGGAAATAAATGCGATTTGAAAGACGCGAGGGTGGTGAGCGCAAGACAGGGGTTGGAATATGCTAGGAGAAAAGGCTGTGGCTTTATGGAAACGAGCGCGAGGGAAATGGTAAATATTGAGGAGACATTTGCTTGTAAGTTCCACGTTTCGAATGTGGCCGGAATTGCATCTTGCATAGTTCGGATCAGAAAAGCCAGACTGGGCTTAGTGGTGCATATATCTGTTTCACCCGTACTTTTTATGGTTGTGCTTGGCGAAACTAACTTACTCCCAGTAATCATTCGTCGTGTAGTGGAAGCGCGGTATCTTCATCATCGCCAACAATTTCCCGCCCAACCCCAGACCCCTGGTTATTCATCACTTGAAGCGCATTCTCTACCCCAGAGCTTGTTCTCCCCCGACCTTATTTTAACATCACAGGCTGATTTTCATTCAAGAACTCCAGCCCTCACCGCCAAAGAGAGGGAAATTACGGACAATAATACCGATGATCAAGCAACGGGAAACTCCACACAGAAGCCAAACCAGTGGCAAGGTCTGGGACGAGCAATCTCGAAACGTGTTCGAAAGGTGAAACACCGGGACACCGCAGACCCAGGCCATAAATCACCACCCTCAACTGCTCATCGCGAAAAGAGCATATCTGAAACAACAGAGCTTCCTCGAAACAACCCACCGCAGCCTAGCGGGAAGAGAGAAGACGATGGCACTGAAGTTGCAAAAGTCGAAGTCTATGCGAACAAAAGATGCGAACCTAGAGAAAATCAGAGAACTTTGTGGAGATGGCTCTTTTGCCGAAATCGGTGAAACGTTTCTATCCATCCTTACTTCTTATTTATATATATCGAATATCCCCTGTCAGCTCAGCTCCTCAACTTAGGTGTTGCGCAACTTATTTTTGATCCTTTCCATATATCTTATTTGTGCATATTTTCCTCCATTATATCTTTTTATTCTTCCCCCTACCTCCTAACACCGTTCTACGACCGCTATCCATGATATCTTGATCGCAGACGGTATGCTCATGACCCACTGTTTATTTCCTTTGTCTTCACATTTCGGTAAACTCCCCTAATAGCGCTGTTTCGGCTCCACTGGACCTGTCCGCATGCTCCTACTCATGTTGTGATTTTGGAGAATATTCCCTTTGATGCCGGTCTTCTTCCTTCTTTCTATAAATATTTCCCGTCCATGTCCTGGGGTAGCGAAGACTCGCCATAATTTCATTTGTTACGTGCGTGTTTGATACTCTACATTCTGGTCGATTTTCCCGATCGGCAATTCCGGCCACACTTACGCTTACGCCATTACTTCTACTGGATGCCTTCTGTGGATTTCCTGAAGAGAACACCCACTTCAGTTCTCAATCATGCGCTTGCCGCGTTAGTGTCCATTTTGCCATGCCGTTCGTTCCTCTATTTTTCTTTTTCTTCCGGTCCAGTTACCTTGGTCACTTATGATATGCTTCCGGGATAAAATGTCTCTATTGTTTTGTTTTTGGATACCTTACTTCTTCGTCTTTGATTTCCGTCACCGGACCTCCTCTCCTTTCTCTTCTTTTTTTTTTTTTTCGTGGCCATTTTTTGACCTTTCTCTCCTGGAGAAAGAACGACATTCGTTCCTTCACCTTTTTGGATGAAAAATAAGACTTTATACAAGCGCGAGCCTTTTCTTTTCTTTATTCACGTGTATGTATTTTAGCTATACTTTTTACCCACTCTTACACTCCTAAATATAGCGATGTATCAATTGACGTGGTCGCACAGAACAAGAATCTTCATTTGCTACCTAACAATCTAACTAAATTAAGGGAGGTCTTTTGGCCAAATACAAATCCTAAGAGGAACAGTGATCGATGTGGGACAAAGTACGTCGAAGTACCACTTAAGTGTCATACAATGTCCATCTTTCAAATCTCACACGCGACGATAATGATTGACAATTCCAAAGATATGAAATAGAACTTCCATTGACGCACTAGATATATGTACTAAGGAATGTAAGGTAATCTAACGCCCACCGTTTATTTCTAACCTTATCCCTGAAGCCGTAAACCCCACCTCATCCGCACACTCACTACTACTTCAAGGAGACCTTCAGTGAGAAATCCACAATCCCAACCCCCTGATGAATACTGCTAGTGGACAAAATGTCGACATCCTCAGCCGCAAAGGACGCCGCATTGCTTTCGTTGAGGCCACCACTGACCTCGATCAAAAACGAGCCGCGCGGTTTTCCCTTCGCCGTCCACGAGTCCTTCAACAGCTTCGCCGCCTTGCCCACCTCAGCCGCGGAGAAATTATCAAGCATGATGATATTCGCACCAGCATCGATGGCGGCATTCGCTTCCTCGATGTTGCGGCACTCGACTTCGATTTTCATGGAGAAGCCTCCTGCGGCGCGCGCCGCGGCGACGGCCGTGGGGATGGCCTGGGCTATTGTCGCGGTCGAGACGGAGGACGCCGCCTGGCCTTTATTGTAGCAGGCCCAGACATGGTTGTCCTTGAGCATGGTCATGGAGCTGAGGTCATGGCGATGCGGGTCCGCGCCGCCGACAAGAACGCCATATTTCTCCACGAGCCGGAAGCCCGGGGTGTTTTTGCGGGTTCCGGCGATGATTCCCTTCCAGCCATGGGAGCGGAGGATCTTGACGAGGGTAGATGTCCTTGATGGAATTGATATTGTTGTTTTAGTTTGGGTTCGTTTTGAGGAGGAGAAGTCCATTATGTCATGGCTAAGTGGAAGGGAAGTTTTGGGGGGGGGGGGGGGGGGGTTTACTTCGTAGCAATCCCAGAGCATCGGGCCAGGATGTTCAGCGCGACCCGCTCACCCAGGAGGATCTTGCGCATTGGGCCGCGAACGATCGCACATACTGTGATCGGTTCGATCGTTTCCCCCTCTTTGACTTTCCACTCAACCCTGATAAACAGATGCAGGTTAGATATGGCTTCTCGGGATTGAGTATATGCATCGGTTTGACGGGTGGAAGAGGATAGAGTGAATAAAGAAAAATGGTGGGTGGCCCATACGTGCAACCCAGCTGTGCAAACACTTCATCGAAGAAAGGCACACCAGCTACAACGCCCTAAATGGGTCAAATAAAAATTCCAGTCAGCATTTTTTGCTCGAAAAGGGTCGGGATATGCTAAAAATAGAACATATGCCTCCACTCCTGAAACGTGCGATGATCGCTGCCAGCCTTGCTTGGCAAGAGCAGAACACAAAAACCAAAGGTATAACTATCGCAAAGCTTCTCAGCTCTTGGGAGTGTATAAGCCAGGACAAAACAAACCACAGGTAAAACGGCATATATCGATCCCAAAAATATAGAACAACAACGAGAGCAGACGATGCATTTTACTCCATGGGGCGTTAGGGAACAGGCCAATTCTCAAGTAGAAAAAAGGTCATATCATATCATACATACCTTGCTTTTCCCCAACAGCCTCGCTTCGCCGAGAGCTTCCCCGACGACGAAGCCACCATAGTCGAAGCTGGGGCAATCCTCCTCCAGCCAGGTGGCGATCGTATGCTTGTAGGTCAGCGGCAGGAGGTGAGTGAGGTCTCCGTAGTTTGACGCCATGTTCAAAAGTTGGCGATAGAGCTCGAGTTACGCGGGGCGCCCGAAAACTGGCTGAGAAAGGACAGGATAAGGTGAAGGAGCTAAGTTAACAGCCTAGCAGTGCTAGTAAGGTGACTTGCGAACGGAAGGTTCTTCCTAGACGGGTCGATTGGTATTCGACTGCCAGATGTCAGTGGTTGAGCTGGTTGTGGGTATAATGTCACTCCTAAATATGCGCCATGTGCAGGCCCCATGCAGGACCCATGCACGCCACCTGGCCAGGCGTGGGGGTGGGGGTGGCTGGTGGTTGGTGGCGGTGATTTCTTGGGGCTTCCAAGGTTTTTCTGGGCGTCGGGAGATCCAGGACCCGATTTTCCGACGGTGGCGACCGTTGGCTGAGTAATCAACATCGGTTCATGTCATCGGTTCCTTGTTCATCATCATCAATCTGCCAATCTACGACGTAGTTAGTATTCGATCAATATGCCACCAGCTCTGTTTTCCTCGCAGAAAACGAAATCAACTCGGCATCCCAGAAGCTTCTGGATATGCTGCACTGTCAAACTCTCAGTAAGCCTTTGACCTTGGAAGCAAGAAGTACTAGTAACTTGTATCCGTCGACAGTATTCTCGGCCTATGCACGCCGACAGACAAATAATGCGGTTTCTCACCTGGTGCGCTAGTCCATTCAACGGCGGCTTCGCAAAAATTCTTGCTTTGTTTTTGGAGCATATCAGAGTTTCGGTTTTAATTCCTCTGATAGGTAGCTCCAATGTCGTCTCTTCTTTGCAATCATCGTGTTAAGACTTGCAGGGCCTGTGCAGTTCTACTACGACACTTCCCGTCATGGGGTTGTCTGTAGATGCCAAGCTACGCTATCGTAGACTCGATTTCTGCCATCCAGGACCAATCAATCCTGTAAGAAGTGTACCGAAGCTACCCTACAGCGGATTGTCCTGCATGTGCTTGGCGCATCAAAGAATAGATAGAGTCGATACCTCCAAAGCTACGGAGCTTTGGTATCTCACGGTATGAATGGACAAGGATTCGAGAAGCTCCCTTATAGACATGAAACATCAAAGGCGTCCGTCGAGACGAGAACTCGTCTGCGGTGCTTGTATCGTCAAGCGAAAGGAGCATCACACGGGAAGCCATTGTCCGTTTTTTTTCCTGGCTTTCTGGACCGACATACTGCGGAGATATGCGCTGAAAGGGGGCACCCACTGATCGATCACTCGGTTGAATGCGATGGCGATCGGACGGATGTGTGAACAACCCGTTGCCGCCGGATCAGCCAACGTGGGACATACTCTCTGATGTCCTGGGTACAGATCCGTAGTTTAGCGCTGGATTGGCTGGTCTCCAAGGAAAGGGGAGCAGCGGAAACGGTGGCATGTTGAGATACCTCAAACTGTAGCACCCCAGCATACCAGGATTCCTCGAACACAACTGTCCTATCTTCACAGCTGGCAGCGTTGGTGCTTTTTTCCCTCGCAACTCTCCATGCCCAGTATGCTGTTTTTGTTTTAAGTTAGTAAGATTTGGCAAAAAGGGTGAGGTGGGCCGGGCGTGTGTTGATAGATTGAATCGAAGAATGTGGATGAACGGCTTCTGTAATAAGTTGAGCAAGAGAAATAGGCATACGTGGGTTGCGCGAGTTCCAATCTGTTTAGCAAAGCAAAGATGTCAAAAGGACATGATGGAGGACGGAAACTACCTTTTTCTCATGTTTGTCCATTTGCAATCGAAGCCGAGACACTGTCACAGTCAAAAAATATGACACCGCCGGTACATGTCATATATTTCAATAACAGCGTACACAATACATACCGTACATACTAGTACCGTATGGGCGTATGTGCGTATTTGCGAAGAAGAAATCGTTGCAAAATAAATAAATAGTGCCGGCGCATAAAAAGTACAATACGATTGCATAAAACAACCTTGCAATATAGCCCATGCTTTGTTCGGTCAATAAAACTCTCCTGGCCGAGCCCCGACCCCGAATACGACGGGGAGATCGGTCGAACCTGTCACCCTCCTTCCAGCTGCATCGTCGCGTCAGCGAAGCAAGCCCCGTTTGCTTGCGTCTTGCGTGCTATCGGACAAATCTATCCGTCGTCCCTGTTGAGTTAGAAGAGATGCGGGACCCGAGAAGTCAATTCGTCGTCGATTATCAATTTCAAGGGGCTGGGGGATAGGAATGCTTCTGCCTGAATAATCCAAGAACACGCTCTCGGCATCTATTATTAGTGTGCCTCTGTCTGGAGAAAACGTGCTTTGGGCTTTGCACCGTCCGAGCTCGAAGCCCTGGAGTTCATTCTTATTGGACGCGCTGCATCGATGACAAGCAGCAGCGCAGTACCCCAGCCGTCGTTTGGAGCAGCCGTTTCAAAAAAATGCTTGCTTTCACCCCGAGCTTTGGCTTTTCGTGTCGCAGCTTGAGCTTGGCCGCCTGTGGCTGATGTTTACCTGCTTGCGCGGAAAAACCCCTCTACCACCTACGGCAATCTCAAGTAAGAGGAGTTTTTATTTTACGAATGTGTTTGCTCTTCATCGATTGGGCTTCATCTCTCATACGATAGTTCCAGCTCGTATAACAATATCCTTTTGAAGGAAGAAGTCAAAAAAAACATTACTGCCTAATTTTGATTTACGCAAAGCCAATGTCGGAGGCTTATCTCTCTCAGAGGTTAGCAGGCGCCAAGTGTCGTCCCACGGCTGCACCGAGGAACAGTGGTGACCCGAGAGCAGGCTAAGACTCCTTCATTAGAGAGCAGGAGAAGCTGAGATTGACGGCGTGGAAAGTCGTTGAATTCGAAGCTAAGGTTTACCTGGCCCGGCTGCGAGAGCGACTGTGTTCTCGAACACCATGAGGCAGCTATGCCAAAAGGCAAAACAACGACATTCATTGCCATGAGTTATGTGGTTTGGTCCACTGTGATGTATATCTATATGTCTTTGGTGGAGGTAGATTCGCAAATGCAAATTTGGCTTCTTGGACTCAATGTTGGATTGAGGCGGGTTGAAGATGGCATGAATGAAATTTCCCTTTCTCCTAAGGGCTTGTTGGAACATCTAAAAATATTTAACTATTGACAAACAAAACCGTTTAAATATTGTTTTTATTGCTTGCTAAACTTATTCCATTATACCACTATACAATGCGTATGTCAAAACTAAGGTAGTCATTATAACCATGAAGTCTATGGTATGGTTCTGTTATCCCATCTGCAAACCTTGCCACAAACCGGCACAACCCCTTCATCCCAGTAATCCAACGACGCCCAATATACATAAAGAAAAGGGCCGTCTCTACACATCACCGCCAGAAAGAAAAAACTTGAAGTACATTACACTGTCCAATGCCGGCAATTCTGAATAAAAAGAAATGTAACCAAAGAAAAGCAGAAAACGGGTACCCCCGCTGCATTTCAATCTTTCTTCTTTTTTTTTTTTTTTTCATCCTGATGGTGACCTGCTCGCGTGCCTCGGGCTCCGGCTGCTTGGCTTGCTGTTGCTGCGGCCAGTCAAATCCCTTTTCATGGCTAATAGAATATGTGCAGCGCACCGTTCACACATGTAATTTGTTTCGATTGGTTCCTTTTTGATCAATGGACAAAACTGTTTCAATCCGCAGGTTCTTGTCCGGACGAATACTGAGTGGCCGCAGGAATGGAGGTTGTAATATTGGGAGCACATGGTTTTTCAGACCGTTGTCCTTAATCGATCCCCCTTGTTATCTAGTGCAATGCGATGCCAATAGAATATTATGTTTTTGAGGGCTTCTTCCCGGAGAGTTTTGAGGAGAGTTTGATGTTCGATATCAAGAATAGAGCATGGAAAATATATGCGGGATACCGTTGCGATATAAGCTAACGGCCAACATGTGAGGAAATGGTATTGTTGGACTAGATGAGAGAGCCAGGTTCCTGAATACACATATAGAGGAACAAGACAGTGGTGATGTTGATATCTAGGCGACTCTGAGGTGGATACGGTGCGGCTCATTAATAATAAATAAATCAAACATGCCAATAACTGTCAGTATCATACTGGCTGTTTCAAAATAGAACTCTTGTCATGCTTTTTCTTTCTTCAATGAGTTTGTTCAGAAACCAAGGCAAAGCGGTGGTGAAAATTGTTGAATGCTTCTGTTTAATGGTTCTTACTGGATCCAGATGGAGGCCCATATATCATTGAAAGAAAGGAGGCGAGATTGAATGAATATGTTGATAAAGAGTGTTAAGGAGACAATGAAGTATTTAAAGCTCCAGTGCTCTTATATATATATATATATATATATATATAAGAACAAAGCAGGGCGGGATGCGGAAGGGGTTGAAATGGCCCCTTTAAATCAGCAGTCAATGGAACAGATAAAAGAAAAGTGTTCTTTAGAAATTGACATAATGGGGAAATATCAAGATGAGGCCACTTCACTTCTTTGCCTACTTGAGCTGCAATATCCTAATTTGATGTCGGGTCAATAGCATTACTGAGCAACGCTACAAAAATAATCATTGCCAAAGGGGTCAATGTAGTTCATGAAATATGGAATGCAAGAGAGTGTTGAAAGTGCAATATCAATGATATTGTCGCATACCAGTATTCACTCTTATTGAAGAATTCACCAATTGAGGATACAAGAAAAATACCAGTATGAAATGCGATAACGCGGAGGTCCTCCTTTCACCTTTCTTTTGTTCTTCCGAATCCATGGAAGGTAGACTTTTCTCAGGAAGTCGCTGATGAAGGAATCGGAACGGAAAAATGATTTACCTTCCTCCATCAAGGTCATCGTCATTTGGTAAAGCGGAGATGGTGAGACCAAAAGTTGACGACTCCCTTCGCAAGCTCTCACCGTGACTTATTTGCAATCATACTATAGGTAAATATGTATGTGTTCATGAATAGCTAGCTTACATTAGCTGAGAGCATCAAATGCTGGATGATGAACGATGCACAGCGGTGTATTTCATATCGGGCCGTGTTCCACAAACTTTGCACTTAAATCACAGCGAATGATGGGGTCAGGTAATGGGTTTACATGTTGCGGGGCTGCCAGTTAAGTTGCCTTGGGACATAATTTTTTTGAAAATCTGGAGAGACGGCTTCGGATTGGCAAGCTCTCTTTCAAATGTCTAGAAATGCAGAAGATATTGACGCTGTGCATTGGGCATTCAAGCAGCAGGATCGTACTGCAGATAAAACAGTATCATCTCCCCAGATTCTAATTGGCAAAGGACTGAAAGGAAATATGTTTTCTTTCTCATAGGTTATGAAAAGGCGTTCGTGCGAGAACTCGAGATAGAAACCTCATTGAGAGTGGCTATAAAAGCATTACTTAGAAAAGTAACCAGCATGAAGAGCTGCAAAGCTCTAGTGAAGTCGAGGTGACACGTCGCATGAGAATTTACACAGTGTCTTTTATCTCAACTTTAATTTCTTTCACGACGAACCTAGAGGGTACCGCCCTTTTCTCTTACTCCTTCCATGCCTTGTACACAATCTTGGACCCCCAAATTTGCCCCTTCCTCAAGACACTCATACCCCTCCAATTGGGCTCGTTCGGAGCGTTGATATATCGGCTAGGTTCCACGCAGAAGCCTGATCGTGGTCCCCGTGCTGGCGCGCTGCCAACTGACGGGATGTTAATGTACTTTCCGGTGTAGAACTGGAAGGCGGGTTCCGTGGAATGGACTTCGAGGTGAATTCCTGTGACCAGATGTCTGAGTGCTGCGTTCAGGCGCAGCGGTCGAGATCGAGTGTCGGCTGGTATTGAGGCTGGATCCGTATCCACCACAAAACAGTCGTCAATGTCTGGAGAAGTTGCGCCGAGGAAGAAGGGCTTATTAACCTGTGTAGAAGTGTAACGCTCTATTGTGCTGATAGGGATGCCTGTGGAATCTGTCGGGAGATAATTGTCCGTAGCTAAAACTGCTTCTGTTCCTTCAATCGTAGGCCCATCGCCTAAGTTAAAGTAACTGCGAAAAATGGCTCGTATTAGTATGTGCCCTCTTTCGCAAAATGGAGTGATTACTTTGATTTTGAAATTGCACTGGAGGAAAGCGATACATGTGCTTTCAGCTGTATTATAAGAAAACTCGCCCGCTCACCTATGATTCGTAACTCCCACTACAGTTTCGTCACATTCATCCCCCACAAACTCGACTTCGTACTCAATCTCTAGGACGGGTTTGGAAGGTTCCCCTTCTTTCCCTACCTCCTTGCCGGCTGTATACCATACTCTCAGTTCCACCGTACCCGGATAGCCCTCGTCACCATCCTTGCTTAGATACTTGAATTCCAACCCTTCCTTTCCGTTTCTAAATACAGCGTTGGGGCCGTCGAAGACCTTGGAGTTCCACCCATCCTTCCCACCGTGCAATGAATGAGGCTCCTGGTTTGTTGTAATGAAGTATGTCTTCCCATTGAGATTTTCAATGACTGAATCTTTCAGCCGGTTTGTAGTGCGGCCGATAGTCGAGCCGAAATATGCGGTGTTGTACTTGGCATAATCCTCTTGGGTATCGAAGCCAAGGACGATGTTCTGGCCGGCAACACGAAATTCCTGAAGAATGCCACCTAGTGCGATGAAGGTGAATGCGGATTCGTCCAAAGAGGATGCCATGTTTAATAGATTTTGTTTTGATGAGTGGCTGATATAGTAGGGTAGGCGGATAACTTAAAATAACTTAAAAGAGTTGGGGGGGATGATTTGTTGACATGACGTAGTTGAAGTTACCCCGCGAGAAGGAAGCAGGAGTTGGGAATAAGTTTTCATAGATTGCCGGATATGATGTCGACAGCCTCCTACGAAGTATCAAAGAGTTTAATATACCCATTCAACACAGCTACAGCTCTTAAAAGCTGCTAGTATTTTGCCCCACCAAACTCTAAATATGCGCCAGCGCGTAACTTCACAGAGCCTGCGAGATATCAAGTAACCACGCAGAATGTTTTTCATCCAAGCTGCATCTGGCAAACAATGCTTAAGGACTGCCCTGAGCATGACAATTCCTCAATTACTCAAAACCACTATAAACAACCACAAAAACTAAAACATCTTGATGATTTCAGACTTTTTTCATATCACAGAGGCGCTGGCAGGAAGTTGAATTAGGGCTTTTCATTCACGTGTTTTAGTTAACCTCTCTTGGCATCAGCAGTATTGCTAAGTAACTGCGTCATAATGAGGGATTGGATCAAGTTTGAAATTTGACACATTTCCAACGTTTTCCCTGTTGGGGCTTTGAGCTTCACGCTAATCTTTTCCTTTGACATTTTCAGGTCATATATTGTGTGCACTTGTTCACTGTTAACAGTGAATGGTTCCATAAAGTACAGGATCTGGAGAGGAATACTACAAGTAGAGTAGCTAATTATCATACTAAGGTTCGCAAGTTTGGTCCAGCACCAGGGGTACCTACCTGGCTACAGAATTTCGAAATTGACCACTGTATGTCCAGAATGATAAACTAAGGGTCTTTTTTGTAATGGGGAAGATCATTTGATTTTAAAAAAAGTTCTATGAGTTTTTTTTTTTAATTTTTTTTTTAAACAAAATTATATCGAATTACCTGGATGCTACTTCGCGATGGTCATACAATGTTGATTTAAACAACATCCCGATCATTGGAGCGATAATCAAGTTTCCAAGACCATACATATTTAACATTCGGGAATTGTCCATGTCACCTAGCCGCTTGGCGAAACATGCATTATGAAGGGTGTTACTTGAAGGTGAATTTCAGAATTTCAGAAGGCGTTGACGGGCCTATTTGCACTAGTAAATGCACATTAGAGGGAAGAGTGAAAAAGGGAGCAGAGAGTAGGCCAAAAGTCCGTAGCTTAGAAATGATACCGATATATAATACTTACCACTATATAAGTAGGGAAGTTAGCTGGGAGCTTATTGTTATCATTGCCTTCACCTAGCTATTTACTTATTGCGCACGTTCAGTGCATCAGCGCAACGATTACCAATTATGTATTATACCTATATTATATAGGCTTCAGAAAAAAGGTAGGAAACGAATACATTTCGACGACCCTCAAGCGAGAAAACTCACTATATACAAACGCCAAAGCAGAAGTAAAAGGATTGCATTCACGTTCAAATCAAGGCAGCGAAAACTGTATTTAGCACAACTTTTTTTTTTTTTTTCAAACAAGCAATTTTAAATCATGTGGAGACACAGGAGCTGGAACTAGAAGTGACAGGTATGTCAGTCTTGATCACAATTTATTCCTTTGATACCCCGCAGTGTGGGATCGGTTTGAATGGATAGAGTTACATATCTATCTCCATCTCTGTGTCTCCTATGCTAATGCAGAGAAGAGTTTGCGAAGAATGACAGCCAGTGTTTTCTTGTTTGCTGAGAACTCGATATGGAGGACGAAAAGAATGTCAGAACGCCTTCTCTCTTGGAGCGCCTTCATTCGTATTTCGGGTTTTGCAGGGATTGTGGCGTATGGGAAAAGTTAATGTGTTCGGGGATTGGAAGCACATATGTAAAGAGACAAAAATGAACATAGAAGAACCGTTAAAACATCAATGGAATTTGTCATTTGCCATTAGCTTGAGATGAGATGTCGTGTATGTAAGGGAGTGGGAGAAAAGCGAGAAAGGAGAAATTAGTCTATTTGGACAGATTTCAAAAAAGTTGAAATTAATAAGGGTTATCAAGTGCAAAAGAAAGAAAGAAAGAAAGAAAGAAAAAATACGGAGCGAGGACAGATAAAGAAAAACTCGAAACGAATTATGCATTATTCATGTAATTTTTAGCTTATCGTTCCGGCTTATATCATTGCAACAGTTGGATTTAAAAATTCTTTGAAGTCAGCGTCCTCAACCCAGTCTGGTTGTATGGGCAGACATGAATTAAGGCCCCCGGTGAGAGAAATCGGTCGACAATACGCCTGGGTTTGTTGTGCCGAGTCAAAGGATATAAGAGGCGAATCGACAGTGAGATCCATGTTTTCATCCAAAACGCCTCCTTGAGGCCACGCTTGCTGTCGCTGGAGGAGGCTAGGATTCATAGATGGTTGAGACCCGGGGGTATTGAAGAACATCTGAACTTGAGATTGGCTGGCTTGGGCCTGCGCAAGCTTTTGTTGGGTGTTAGATGGTTTCTGGAGCTGCTTTTGCCGCTGAGCATTCATTTGCTGCTTTTGGTAAAGTTGATGCCGTTGATGCCGCAGAACTTGCTGGCGGTGTTGTTGGAGATTGTCCTTATTTTGTTCCTGCTGCCGCTGGTGATGTAGCAAGAACTGGTGTTGGTGTTGCTGCTGTTGAACTATACCTTCTAGTATATGTTCGGGCATCTGCTGTGCTCGGGAAGGGAAAGTATGTGGGCTGGGAGGGGTAGGTGGAAGCTGATTGGGATTTATTGAAAACGGGGGGTCGAACAAGGACTGCCTCGAGGGAAATGTTGGCGAATGCTCACTTTCCGAGCCATCTGAGGAATCCTGGCGCTGCATGAATCCGGCACCATTCGCAATCAATTTCTTCTGCGCCAATTGTAGATCATCTTCGAATGGCTCGTCACTTGAGTGACCCTCCTGCTTAAGCGCTCCTAATCGTTCTAGAATGTCGTGCGTAAGGGGATGTCCGTTTGCCGACTCCTTGAGCGGGTCGCCTGGCCACCCTTCCCCGTCGAGAGTCATCTTATAGAGCGCTTGGAGGCCAGTAACCAGCTGTGCCTGCTGTTGCTCTAGCATTTCAACATATCTTTATAAGAGAAGTATTATTTAGCAATGCCCTATCTAAACGTTTCCTGACAAACCGAACGAATACCTGAACGACCAAAATCGCAAGAAGTACCAGTGATGTTGGGAAAACGGAAAACCAAACTCACCCTTTAGGATATACTTTATCATGGGCCTTTTTCCGCTCACCAAATACACAGATCGCATTATCCGTCTTACATCGTCCGCATGGATTTGCTCCATCACACTGCAAAGATAATCCCTATGTAAACACGTGATCGCGACAGAATGGCATCCACTCTCCCAGAACAAGTACTAGTAGAAGTTCATACCTTCGACTTTTTCAATCGACACCGATCACAGGCCTTGCACACTCTTTTGCGGGCATTGCCTTCTGATGGGGATAAAGCGTCCAGAGGAGGGCTTGGCTGGTGAACCGTCATTTTGTGATTGAAGGGGCTGCACACTGTACGGCTAGTGATATTACATCAGAGCGCAGAGTTGCTGAACTAGTAGATATCTCAATTTCGTACCGCCACTGGGACCAATCCACAGCACAGCACAGCTCTATGATCTTGCGCTTGTGTGGAACACCTGGTGGCGAAGAAAGGATACCGGCTGGGTGTCCGAAACAGTGTGCTAATTTTGGATCTCCAAGCTAATAACTACTTGAACTGACGGTCGTCAAACGAAGAGCTGTACTCATATAGGATCGACGGTAACTGTGGGTGTATGTGTATCTGCGTTCTGTGGGGAACGACGACGAGGATGTTCCAATCCGATAATAACAACTTGCACGAGCAGTTATTTATGAGTGTTGTCCGGAGGGGGGTGTCGAAGGGGAGGGGAGGAGGATCTAGAAGTGTTTGCACGCAAAGAGGAATAAATACGACAGAGGGAGAGCAAGAAGCAATTCAGGTGTTCTTTTTCCGAACTCGAGGGAGATCGGGGCTTTACATATTGATTATATCACCACGGACTTAAGCTCCCCACCAGAACTATAAGAGCTCCATGAGATTGAAATGGAACCCAGCTCAGCCTCTGCTACCGTGGAACCCTGGCCAAGACCGACTCGATTTAGGTTGACACGATGTGGGTACGGGAAAAGGTTTGTTATTTTTACTTTTCCATTGCCGCCATTTTTGCAATCTGGTCCTTTTTCTTTTTTGCAAAACTGCGACGGTATTTTATTATTTCGCTATTTGCCCTTTCGTTTGGAACGAGGTGCCGTGGGAACTCCGCCGTTCATTCCCACCAACATGTATCGATTTTGAATTCATGGACTTGGGAACTTCTAGAAATCATACTCGGGCGAAGTCAGGAATTGGCCACAATGCATTTCCTGGTTGTTGGCAGCGATGAAGCTTTGCGTTTTGTCATATTGATTGCTGCTGACGGAGGGTGACTAATCAGGCAGCTCCAAGCGCACAATCATCCATCCTCCTGGGAACTTGAACAAAAGCTGCGTAATGTGGGATACGAAGCCGATTATCTGCGAGTCTAGTATTGTAAAGAGTGGTTTCAATTACAGACAATACGAGGACGCCAAGTCGAGGCCTTGGGAAACAATGACAGGAGCTTGAACGCAGATGAAGCTGTTAACTACAGCAAGGCGCGAAGAATTAAGCAGCTGCCCTGACGTGGTAATTCACAGCTGCACTGACGTTCATCTTCTTTACCTCGATTAGTCGGCAAACGGTCGAGAATCGACAGGTGCCAGCCTCGGCTTTGTCACGCGAGGTTCAAATTACGATGCCATTCCACACATCCATACGGTACCGGGATTCTGGGCTCCGTCTCCCGCTTTGCAGGTTGTGAAAAATACAACGGGGAAAAAAGAAAATTGCGGCCGTTGTTGGTTTCCTCGTCGAGCTCAAGATCCGCTCCGACGATGCGTATAATGACCGACGGAAATTCGGGTCGCGGCACGGAAACAAGAGCAGCAAATATTTCTCAGTCTGGCGCTGGGGCTATTTCCATTTTCCGTTCTTTCTTTTCTCCTCGATCTGCATAACCACGCGACTCTCCGCTTCAACGACCAGCTCGGGGACGCAAAGGAGAAGAAAAAGAGAATAAATAGAATGTAAAACATGATGAAAATTCTATCAAAACTAATCATTACGATTACGATTCGGATTACTGACAAGACCCAATTTTGACCTGAGCGCTAGAGGAGCCTTTTTCAACATTTTCATTAAATCCGGGACAAACTCACTCACGAGCTGTGGAAAAGAATCCGACCAGTGGACTTGTTTTGACTCATCATGCACTCTATTATTCAGTCTGCTGCAGGAGGGGGCTGAAGTGATGCCAAATCCCGCTTACCAATACAGGCAATATTTGCGTAGCTTGATTGTTGGAGAAAAAAGCAGCAGAAAATTTGAACTTGCCTTTCGGCCCTCGGCGAAGCCGATCTGGAGGAGCCCATTTCCTTTTTCATCCATAGTCAGCCCCTGTTTGGCCCCATTTTAGCACTACCAGTGCCCAAAGGGAAAGCGTCTTTTTACCAGAAAGGGGCCACAGAGAGTGATTTCTCAGCAATGAGCGCATGACGACATGGCTCAAGGGTTATTTTTGGCTTTGTTGACTAGTTTACTAGTTGTTATGATTATGATTATTAAATTGTTGACAGGGCCGAGAGCTTGGACTCTCAGGTCTGGAGGAATAGTTCCGCCGGCAGGCCGATAGATAGGACTTACGGGCTTATCGGACATTAGGGGCAGGGGGGGGGGGGAAAGGGTGCTTGTCAATTAATTAATTACCCGCCCCTCCCTCCGCTAAGATAAGTCTCAAGATAAATCCCCCATCTTGGCCTTTTCTTCTAGCTTTCGCCTGCTCCGGCTTGTGTTCTGGAGAATAATGTTCATGCTTGCTTGGTGATCACCCGAGAGTGGGCCAGACGTCAGTTGTCGAGAAGTCAATCCAGTCCCGCCCCGCCACGACGTCATACGGACTTTGTCAGGCCGAGGGTGGCTGGTAGCTTGGCACGGGCAAATGCATGGCAGACGCTAGTATATATGTAGGATAGCGTGTGCCTAGGGTGGCTTGAACCGTGCAACAAAGCTTCCATTTGCATTCGGTGCAGCTTCTGAAGGATTTCTCCTCTCGAACATATACTACGGATTTCGATTCTATGCGACTGGTAGTATCTGCAGTATACTCCCTTTCGATAACGTACAAGTCGCGATGTACTAGCAATTCAACGGAACCTTCTGAAGCAGCCAAAATTGAGAGATACGCAAGAGATCCATACAGAGCCTCGGTTCGAGGGCAGACAACACTCTTCCGCAGTCAATCTCTTGTTGGATCGATATAACCCGTATAAGTTTATTTTTTTTTTTTTTTGCCAAGTCTTAGCAGTGGACAAGTCCCTGACTGTTCGAAACACAGTTCCTTTTCCTACCAAATCGCACGGATGCCTTTATGTCACCACCTTCCTGTCAGGTAATTGCGCCGCATCATTCATTCCTATGGTATATACATACCCTTTCCACCACGGAAACAACAATATTCCTCGGGAAGAAGTCCAGGCCCAGCTATTTGCCACGGGGGCTAGAAATGGCTGCTCGCTGAAGCTTCTTCCTTCTTGTGCTGTTGATGTTTTTTCCTCCGAGATGATAGCCCCGGAGCTGAACATATTTCATGATGATGATGATGATGATGGTGATGATGATGATGATGAGTTCAGGAGCGCCTGAAGATGATTAACTCAAGAAGCAATCCATGGGTTGAAACTTCCCAGCTAACCACTCCAGCCACCCCTATGGCGTAACCTTTCCTTTCCTTTCCTTTCCTTTCCTTTCCTTTCCTGTGTTTCTTGTGTTCTCGCTTTTCCGTTCTCTCTCCCTCTTGTTTTTTTTTTTTTTTTTTTTTTTTTTTTGCCCCTTAAACTTTTCCTTTCTTCTCTCTTACGATGTTGCTTTTTCTTTTTCTTTTGTCAAAGCATTTAACTTCTATACAGCGGGATTACATCCAAAATGGTTAGTAGGGTTGGGATTGGGAATTGCAATGCCTAGTGAGTTGAGTTCCTGGTCCGCGTAACTAATGGCAAATCACCCGATTATCTAATCGAAGAGTGGAGTTTTCCTACTTTGAGAGACACAGGATGTCATGATGAGCTGATCTTTGCCAAACAATTCTGCCGTTGAGGAGGGTGGTTTTGCAGGAAAGAATAGGGGAGCCATCTATGCCAACATATCTTTTCTATTGATATCCTTTGTATCCATCTAGTTGCTTCAACCAGGCTATAGCGGAGGGAGAAGGGAGGTTGAACCCTTTGTTATGGAGAAGGTGAAACCTTCCCTGCTCTACGCAGTATCTATCTACTTGCATGTCCGAAAAAAAAAAAAAAGAAAAGAAAAGAAAATATGATAATTGGATTTTGACTTGCGAACTTACCCCAATCTGTGTTTTCTCAGTTCTCTCCTCCTACGCAACTGAGAATCACATCTGCACAACAAGAGGAATTGGTCAGAGAACTGGTATTCTTGGTGATAGCCGATAGCCAGGGCAGAAGTTAGACGTCAGGGGCGTTTACATGTGAAATGATCTGGTTTCTTCCCAAATATATTTACGCCGATGATAGGTTCCGAAACTGAAAAGTTCCAAGAAAAAATAAATAAATAAATAAATGAAAATTTTTCTTTTCCTTTTTTTTCCCCCTTCACATGATTGTGTGGAAGAAAGTGTATTAAGATTGGATTACGTTTTTGTGTGGGGAATTGGATCGGAAAGTGCTCGTTTTATGATATTAAATGGTTTTGATAGATTAGATGGTTTTCGGTTTTGTCATGATGTAAACTAGGTAAAAAAATGTTATTGTTTCAACAAAGAAGAGATACTTTGATCTGCATATATATACAAAATTAGATTTTAATCTAAGTACTGGTTCGTGGGTATCTTTCTCTATTTCAGTGTTGTCGGGTCCACTGAATGAATAGCTATTTAGCACGGGGGAAAAGAAATGTTATACATAACTAAAGGATGTTCAGATATAATGTAAAATGTTGTCTCTACGTCATTCATCTGTGCTCCGTAGACTATATCTTACTTAGTAGTGCCCGATGGCAGGTGCCGTGCAGCGACAATGGATGACTAACCGGGGTCCTAAGTAATTGTAATTGCGGCATCATATAGCTTATTTCCTGCTGATTTGCCATAAGGCCATGGGTCTAATTAACCATCTCAAACGAAAATCCCCGATGGGCTATGGGGACGCGGGCCAACCCCGAAATACCTGTTCACCCACGAGCATGTGGGGAAAAGGTTTAAATGTCGCAATTTTTGTCCGTTCTCAGCAAACCCGTCGAGCGAGTGGCAAGAGATGAAGAAGCTTCTTTTGGGTTTTGGTCGGTTGAAAAACCGGATAGTTGTGTGGCTATCCATGCCTTTTTTGTCTCGAACTCAAAAAATATGGCAGTTTTTTTTCCCTGATATGTCCAGTTAGTTTCAGAAATGAACACCTATCTGAGGAGGGAGCTGGGCGGGGACCTTGTTCCCCGGGTTTTTGAGAGAGAGCTTGTTTTGACGCAGTGTTCAAGTGCCCTGAAGTTTAACCCAGCCTTTTTACCATTGAACCAGCTTATCGAATAGCGCATGTTTCGCGGCCAGAGCGAACTTGTCGAGTGTAAGATTTGTTGGTGAGAGCAATTTCAAAGAGGATCCGTACTTTGTGCTCCTGAGGTGGGCGTTTACCGTGGTCCACGCCAAGAGGAACCTGGGCTTCTTTATCTGCAACAAGCAGCGGTGGAGTATCTCCGTCCTATATCCTTACTCTTCAACCACTACTAAAAATACTGCGCGCATGTAGGAACCGGACAAAATGCAAATCGACCCAATCACTGAGAAGTATAAGCACATGCTGCTCATGGAGACGGAAGAATAAGCGCGGAGGGCGGGAGGGGTGCTGTCAATGATATCATCCCCCTCGATGCCGCTTCAAACACAATAACAACAACAACAACGATAACGACGACAATGTCCTCCACCCCACACTCCGGGCATCGCATGAAAATCTTGCCACAGATTAGGGACTTACTCACCTTCCCTTTAAGGAAGGTGTAGTTTTCAAAAAAAAAAAAAGTTACAATCCTGGGAGCGCGTTGTGTATGATCACCACGCAGTCAAAAAAAAAAAGGGAGGGGGAATTGATCCCATAAATGTCAGTAACATAACCAAACCCATTTTCCTCCCTTCTCCTTTGGCAGGCAATTACTAGTATAAAGGAATTGCATTGTTAGTAGACAGGGACGAATTTGCTCCCCCTCCAACCCCGAGCTGGTAGTAAGCTCTGCCAGCACACACATAGCAGCCAGAAATAGAATTCCCGAGAATATGGTAATAAGGTGTCTCCTTCTCCCTTGATTGAACAAGCACAGGAGCGGAAATGGGGCTTCAGCCTTAACCCACAGCGGAGACTGCTTTCCTGGAGGCTTGCTGCCGAAGGTTCCCGACGCTTCTAACTCGACAGAGGGGGAGGGAGTCCCGAATATCCTGCCCGAGGGTTTCCTGCTCTTACGACTCCCATGTGGGAAAACAACAAGGAACTCGGGAGGAGGCGAAAAAAGGGCGAAACTTTGAAAAACCATCAACAGGAATCAACAGAGCCCCGACCCTGACCTTGGCCTCGCTAAAAGCACAGTCTCCGCCAAGCTCTGATATGGTGGCCCGTGCATGCGCCTGGATTACAGCTAGTAAGCGAAGTGATAACGTGATTTTGAAAATTGGTAATGAAACATACGCAGCACAATCGTATACAGATTGTTATTGTATAAATTGACTGTAACTAGTTAAATCCATGTTTGATTGGTTTATAATATATATACTAGTTTAGTTAACTAGTTAGCTGACTATTTGTATTGTAATTCATTAACTGATAGTTACCCGATTAAGGCCTAATTAATTGCTGATCAATATGTTATACGATTATCCCATACAGCAGTACGGAGTATAGTTAACTAGTATATCCATTTCTTATCTATTTTTAAATATCAAACTCCTTATCTGAAGTTACCTATCTTGAACAACTACGGTGACTTGATCCTCGTTCTCCGTGCACGAGCCACAGACCGAGATATCACATTCCGTGGCGCCTTTAGCGAGCTCGGCCTTTCTCGTATAGTTCGTTCCTCCTTCCCAGCAGCCAGGCCCTCATCGGAGTTTGCCCATGAACAGCTATTCCCTGGGTTGCCTTATCTTTCATCATCGATCAAAGCTTAAACCCTTACCTCCACACCAAAAACAACAAAAAAAAAAAAAAGGAAAAAAAAAAGGGGGGGGGAGGCCCCGTTTCGCTTTGAAGCTGCCCTCCGGTGCTGGATGGCGTCACCCATTCAACTTTTCTCAGCTTTGATTCCATCGCAGACTCATCCTGGCCAAGGATCTGTGTGCGGCCTCGTAATGAGGTTCCCTCACCCTCAAATGACAGAGCACCACCAGCGCGCGGGTGCCGCGGCGGCATCAATATCAGGGCAAAGCCGACTGTGTGCGTGATGATGACGTGCGGGGAAAGGACATGCGATTCCCTGGAATATGGGAATGCGACGCTCTGACGGGAGTAGTTGGTTTGGCACTGTCAGGATGATGACGGGGAACATTGAGAAAGCTGTATTTCTCACAGAGAGAGAGAGAGTACTCTGAAAATTGAACGGTTCGCGGTTAGTGTTAACTAACTGGTGAAACCTCTCTCTCTTCTCTCTTCAATTGAGATCATGACTGAATTGTGAGGCTAAAGCTGGTGAAAGGTGAAAATTGAACTTTCATCAACTTTTATGACTCCCTCAAAACCTCTTCCGGATTCAATGAGCTTTTGAACTGATTCCTGCCGGGTATTCTCGTCTTTTTATTGGAAAAATTGGGCCCATTAGGTCACCTGCCGCCGATATTATGGCTGCAATTGTCCCCACTCTCGAAGGATGAAGAGTGAATTAACTGAGTATGCTTGTACAGTACATTACATTATGCGAAATATAAATAAAATAAAATAATAATATCAAAATAGAGCAGCGCCGTCTTAGATACCTTAAGCCCTATTCATGAAGAACCCAGAGTAAAAAAAAAACCCACCACGGCTTTCCATTCGAAAATCCCGCTTAACTAAACCTCAACCTCAACCGTTAGTCCACCCTCCCCATCATCCGTTCCCGTCCCGTTTCCATCATCCTCATCGTCATAATCGTCCTCATAATCATCACCTCCGTCGTACTCGTCCGCTCCCACGCCAGCCCCAGTCCCCGTTCCTCTCCGGCGATGTTCCTGTCGATGGCCGTGCGACAAGTGCGACAAATGCGACTGCTCGCGACCCGTACTCTTGGCGGCGCTTGGATGCTTATGGCCCTTGTGGCTGCCACTATACGGTTCACTATCATGCCGCTGATATCCGCCACTTCCCTCACTAACGCGGTGGTCGATGATGACCATCTCTCCCTCATCAGGGTCGCCGCTCCCCTCGCCCTCGTGATCTGTATCATCACCGTTATCGCGACGACGACGATGATGGTAGGGACTGGCAGCTGCCCTGCTAGCTCGCGAGCGTTCCGCTTCATCAGCAACGGTGGCTTCTGGAGTGGAGAGATGGCGGCTTGGAGCCGTAGGGCCGGTTTCGCTTCGATCCCCAGCTACGCCTCCTCTCGAACCGCTGCTGCTACTAGTTCGGTTATGGGGTGTATTTGTAATAGCCCCCTGATACTGCTGCCTCATCTTTTGCCTAGCCAACTCAGCTGCGAGCTCCTCATTGCGCGCATTCTGCTCTTCCAGCCGCTTACGGGCGCCCGAACGGTCAAGTAATCGCGCCTCGCGCTCGGCCGTGAGGCGGCGCTCGAGCTCTTGCAACCGTTTTATCCATTTCTCCTGTGAGGGTTCGCTGCTGGAATGGGAGTGGTGCGGAGAGCTGACATGCTGGTATCGTGATTGTTGCTGTGCAACTTGCGTGGATGAGGATGTTCCGGCGGGACCGACGGGGTTGTTTGTAAGTGTTGAGGAAGAGGAATACTGGGATGGTTGGGGGTTGCTGGAGGAACCGCGGGAGAGGGCGCTGGGGCTTCGACTAGGCTGTTGAGCATGCGCGTGTGCTTGACCACCGGCAGTAAAAGCGTTGTCAACTGTTGTTGTGGAGCTGTATCGAGATAATGTGTTGGCAGCGAGATTAGATGCAGACCGTCCTGACGCGCTGTGGGCGTTTCCGCTTCCAGCGGCCGCAGCGTTAGCCGCACGAGCTCGCGAATGGGATTGGAGAAGATTCAACTCCGCTTTCAGAAGCCTATTCTCACCCCTGAGTTTGGAGATTTCGGCGCTAGAAGAGTTTGGGGGCGTTGAACGATGTTGTGGTTGACTGGATTTTAAATTTTGAACCAATTCCTCCATCCGTTCAAGTTTCTTAAAGCGGATGTTCAGACTGTGTTCTAAATTCTGATACTCCTTTGTCAAGTCCCGCTCCACGGATTTGATCCGCGCCTTGAACCCGCCAATATGTGTTTCAACCGTTTTGAGCGCCAGTAACAGATTGCGGCTAAAGCCTGGCCAGAAAAGCATGTTTCCAATGACTTCTTGGCTAGGCAGATTCCCGTTAATTAGACTGTTCGAGTGGGCCCAGTCAGGTCCGCACATGGCTGAAAGTCGTTTCCAAATAGTCAGGAACATTGCATTACGCTCGCTTAGCTGGTCCTTATACTGCTGCTCGAGCGTACTGAAACGCTTTCGGTCCTGATTTCGTGCGGCTTCCAAGTCCGAGATCCTTGAGTTATTTTGTGAGATTGTCCGCGAAGCTTGGTGGTGCGATTTAAGTGCTTGTTCGAATGAATGTTTATCTGCCCGATGCGCTTGACGCTCCCTTTCTAATAGATCGGCAAGTTTGCGAGTCTCCAAGCCATGGCTTTCGAGAAGGGCATCCCGGTTACGGAGGAGAGATTCCCTCTCATCGAGCTTAGTGCGAGTGCTCTCCAGCTCGAGAGCGGTTGAATCCAACTCCTGCTGTAGCTTGGTGATTGAAGCAAGTAAGCTTGAGCGTGTGCCATTGAGGTCCCCGAGGGCTTCACGGAGACTATTCTCCAATTCCATCAAGCGTTCTTTCCAAGTTGTAGCTTCGATCTCCCTTGAGGAGAGGTTCTTCTTCAACTTACGGACCTCGTCCTTGGCGGTGGTCGCCTCGCGGTTCAGCTCATTCATAATGCGCTGCACCTCCTGCTTCTCTTTACTCCCAACGACTTCCCGCTGGTGTCTCTCCTCCGCAAGGCGACTATCGAGCTCCTTGGTTCTATCCTTCTCACTAAGTAGACTCATCTGGCAAGTCTTCAGTTCAGATTCCAAATCTCCGATCTTGATTTTATCGCCATCTTGCTCCTCACGGAGGAAAGCAATCTCATTCTGGCTAGATTCCTGCTGAACGGTCAGCCGCTGCACTTTGCTATTGGCTTCAAAGAGGCTTTTCTCCATCTGCTCCAGTTCCCGATTCGCATCATCCAATTCTTGTTGCACAGCTTTGTATTTTTGTAGGTTGCTCTGTGCATCTTCTTCCAGCCTAATTATGCCCTCGCTTGCCGACCGCATTTCCGCCTGCAAAGCTTTCAGATTCTCATGTTGATTAGCCAACTCAACCTCCATGCGCTGACACTCGTCAATTTTCTGATCCAGCTCATCACCCATAGCATCCAGTTCCTCCTGCGCCTCTGCTTTGAGATCCTGCAATGCCTCCTCCCGCTCCTCGGCAATCTGCAACGCGTGATCTCGCTCCAGTTGCATAGTTTGCAAGTCTTCTTCTGCCTGTTCCACATCAGCCTGGTATGCACGATCCAACGCCTCCAGGTCACTCATGCATTCGTCAAGTTGGGTGCGAAGACTTTGATTCTCAAGCTTAAGCGCCGATACGTGATCGCGGAGTTCACCATTCTTGATCTCCAGGCTTTCGCGTTCTGCATCACTGGCGCGGGATCTCACCCCATCGCTGGCATGGGAATTAGACCTATCCTGGGCGCGGGAGACTGATCGCTCAAAGATACTATCGCCAGCAACAGACCGGCCACCATCACCCCTCCGCTGGCCCAATTTCAGGTCTTCGATTTCCTGGTAGAGTCTCTCCTTTTCACGATTTCTAGATGTTAGCATGGAAGTCTGCGCACTGACTTCGCGACGAAGCTCAGCATTTTCTTGCTTAAGAAGTTCTAGTTCAACGAGAGTAGCACTGGAAGTAGTTCCAAGACCAGCACTCCGGTCAATATCCCGTTCAGAGGCGCTGGATCGAGAGACGACGGATAATTTGCCAACACGAGAACCACCAGATCGGCTACCAGACATCGCATCTGGCTTCATACGCAGAAGCTCATCCCGGAGCTTTCTGTTTTCCTCCTCAGCCTGTTCTCTAGCTGCGGTTTCTGCATCAAGCATGTCCTTCCACATATCCTAAACGCATAGAACATGTCAGTAAGCTCACAAACGAGCAGCCCGTCGTAAGAAACACTTTCTCTCCCATTAGCAGAAATCAATGTAATGCAAGTAACTCACCCTCTCCTCCCTTGCCCCCGTATCAGAGCCGATAGTGACTCGTCCATCACCCAACGACTTTACCATCTCAGCCAGGCGCCTCTTCTCACTCTCCCGCGAAATACTTTCCGACCTTAATCTTTCAATCTCCACCTCATACGTCTCAATCCTTTCTCGCAGATATGTCAGCTCCTCTTCATCTACACCTCCATTTTCCCGTCCCTGTCCATCTTCATCCTCAGCCTCTATCCCATCCTCTCTCTCAGACTTTTCCTGGCCCCCATCACTACCAGCGGCTTTACGATCACGAAGCTGCTTCTCCAAATCGCGAATATTCCTCCGGAGCGCTTGATTATCCTTCTGGAGCTTGATTTTATCAGACTTCAGCTCGACGTTCTCTGAAATCATTTCCTTCACGCCCTCCTCAGAACGCTTATTCAACGCTTCATTGAGGAAGTGAATGCGCATCTTGAGGTCAAAATTTTCCTTCGATAACCTATCTATAGTGCTGCTCTGTTCCTTGAGCGTAAGTGATTTACCGCTACGCCCAAAGGCAGGCGTTGGGGCACCTCCACGCTTGTCCGGGGACATGCCAAGTGTACTTTCTCGGAATTGACGGGCGAGGGTGGCCGGGATCTGGATATCCTTGATGTGGTCTGTTATGGCGGTTTCTGGAGGCGGTTGGTCACGCGATTGAGCTTTGGGAGTCATCGGATCCGCTGCGGACTTTCCCCCCGACGATCCTG